GCAAACAGCCCCGAGAAGAATCCGAGCTCTTGGCTTGACCTCTCAGCTCGGAATTCCATCTTGGGGAGTTTGTGGTCTTGCAAAGAGGGTGACGGAGCTCAGCCTCTGGAGCGCCCGGCTGCGTCTCCGCGGCAGGGAAAGGAGTGCAGCTGGAGGGAGGAATGGCTCGGCCGCTTTGATCCGGCTCTTATCGACCTTCGCTGCGTGCGCTGGGCCCAGCGCTGCAGTTTTGGAGAGACCGTCTGAATGTCAAGTGTGAGGTCAGCCCCAGCGCCTGGGAGTCATTGAAAACAGCAGCGGGGCTGCGAGCGGTTCTGTTGGCCCTGAAAGCCGCCGCTGTGTCTTCTCCCGTCTGAATGCCGCGGGCAAACAGTGCAGGCGATGGATTTCGGATCAAAACAGAGATTAACCGAGCGGGGGGAACAGCAGCACCGCATTTCTGCCCTCGGTTTGGCTGCGGCCAGCATGTGGCCCAAGCAGGACCGCCGCTGGGGAGCCGTCCCTGTTCTGCCCCCTCTTCCCACCTCCCGCTGTCAGCTTGGAACCCGATCGCACCGCACAGGGCACGGCTCGATTCTTTATGCAAGTTTGGTAATGAATGAGCGGCCGAGCCGAAAGCCAGCGCGGTTGGCATTCGAGACAACACCCATCCCCGGCTGCGAGCCGGCCTTGCGCCGCGGGTGTGCTCAGCAAAAAGAAATCATCATCCCGGTGGCCACTATTTACTCAAACTGGTTTTATCTGGTTCCAGTTAGGCTTGTTTTGAGTAGGATGAGCGGTGCCAGATTCTGATCTCATTTGCACCGGCGGAGTCATTCGGAGGAGCCGGTCCCGCTTCCTAAGTGAAAGCAGAGCTGGGCCTGCTGGGAGCCAGCACCCCGGGGATGCGGCTGCGCCGGCTTCAAATCTCACACCGGGAAAAGCGAGCGCCGCTGGGACCCTTCCCAGCTTCGCTGCCGGCCTCAGGAGCGCTGGCTTCACCCGAAAAAGAGGGGTGTGCAGGGACGAGGCGGCCCCTTCCACACGGGCTGATGTAGGAACAGTGAAACTGAACGACCGCGGTGTGTGATGTTGGGGCAGCGCATGGGAAACAGCGGCGTGGGGTGGAAGGCGGGCGGGAGCTGAGCCTCGCTCAGGTCTGGGCATGTGAGCACGGTGTGCAGCTGCAGTGCTGCTGCGGGTGCCTGGAGGAGAGACGGGGCAGAGGGCAGCGCTTCAGGTCGCTGCGCTTTCCTGGCCGTGGCTGCGACGCTGGAGAGATCAACCCACTGAAATGATTCCAGAAGCTGCTTATGTTGCTCTCGCCTCCACCACGGCCCGTCCGTGTCCTTCCAGCAGTGCTGCTTTCAGACCCCATCCTAAGCCTCGGTCGTTAAGTAGCTTTCCAATGACTCTTGTAGGCAGAGGAGCTTGGGTTTCTCTTTCCAGCTGCATCAGTTGGGTTTTTCAGGCACTTGGCGCGCAGCTGAGAAGCCAAAAGTGAATTCTGGAGGGGAGAGGGATTTCGATGTGCTGCACTGCTTTTATCCCTGCAAATCAGCCAGCCGTGCTGGAGTGGAAATCAGCACATTACAGAACGGGGAGCTCTGATACCTCCTGCTTCTGCAAGGAGCAGTGAGAAATGTTCCACAGTGAGAAGCGAGGCAGCGTTTGCTCCGTTAGCAGCAGCTCTCAGGATTTGTCCTTGTGCATTTTAAACATCTCAGGGTGCTCCCTTTTCGTTTTGTTGTTTCTTCCCGGATTTTGCAGCTCGGCAAAGCGAGGCCTGAGCTCTCGGATGGGATTTCTGCGTTCACTTAAGCACTCATTTCTGTCTTGCTGTCCTGAAGAATTACCTCTAACCACTTTCAAGCTTGATCTCTTCCCTCTCCCCTGGTGATGTTATCATGTCATCGCTCACGTTAATTCGGGACACGGCTGGCACAGCAATGGAGCCCCAAAAGGATCTGGTGCTTTCTGGTTTTTGTGGCCAAGAGCCGACTCTGTTTCCATGCAGTACGGTGGGCTTTGAGCCGTGGTAGGCGATGTTTATAAAGCTCAGGGCTTCCTTGTCTCGCACAACCTGCGATGCTGTGTGTGAGGCCATGGGCACCGCATACCTGTGTCACCATTTTTATGCCTTTGGCAAAACTGCGAGATCCTGGCTGAGGAAAACACACATAAACACATGAAACCACTCATGAAACGTTCCCCACGTCCACCTGCAGGCTCGTCTTCTATCACAGTCTACACCTCCCCTCTGGAAAAACAGGGTAACACTGATTAGATCTTTTTTTTTTCCTACTTCCCTCCCAAAGTGTTCAGTTTCCAAATGGCTGGGAACAGCTGTGGGCTGGGTGGTGGGAGCACGGCCTCGCAGGGAGTTGCTGTGATTGCTGCGCTCCGGCCGGCAGGACGATGCAGATTTCCCAGCTGCTTTCAGGCATCCTTGGAACCGTTCTCCTTCTCCTTGCAGGGCTCGGAAAGTCCTCAGGGCTGCCCAAAGCTCCACCTCCACACCCCCAGCTCCCAGGAGGCTCTGCCATGAGCTGACACCCTTTGGCCACGGATGTTTTGCCCTTTGGCTCCGCGGGTGCAGGTTGTGGCTGGAAAAAGGGCTTTGGGTTCCGAAGCTGCAGCTGCACGCATGTTGTTTGTCTCCGGAGTCCGGGATGTGCCAGGCTCCAGGGCTGAGTCATTTCTTTGCTCCTTCATCAGGGAGAGGACGCAGGGCTGTGAGAGAAGCGTTTTTCTTCTGGCTTCAGAATCTTGGTGGTCAGGAGTGACCCCAGGTTTCAGGGCAGCGCCTGGGCACCGCGAGGGAGGGAAGGAATGCAGCTGGGGACGGGCAGCAGGGGAAGCTGTAGTTCCAAAAGGGGGAGACCTTCAGGGCTGATGATCTGCAGAACTGAGCTGAATTTTCTGCTTGGAAAGCTTTGACCAGAAAAATCCGTGCCCTGCTGTGGAGAGGAGAAAGGCCCTGTGCTCAGGGTGGTGCTGGCCCTGCCAGCAGGCCAGGCTTGGGTTCAGTGCTGGGGAGCACACACTTGTTCCTTGAGGGGTTGCACCATGTAATTTAGCTTGTCACTGAGGAATGTGCTCAATGCCTTTATGTAATGGTGGGTTTGCAAACCTGCTCGGATACCTCGTCTTCCTTTCTCACTTCCCTTCGCAGCCAGGGAGGAGAAGGAAAGCGGTGCTTTTGTCCCCCGCCCTGTGGCTGCTGTCAGATGGATGGTTTTCATGGCAGCTCTGTTTGCTTGGCTGGTTCAAACGATGCCAGAGAAAGAGGCACAGCTGCCAGCAGGCTGCTTCCAGCCCCAGCTCCCTCCCAAACTCAGCTGCACTGCTGTAAATGTGCCTGGTGCCTCTGCAGCCCCTCTGCAAACAGCACCAGCCCCACGCTGCTGGGGCCGTGGTCGTGAAGGCACCCTTGCTCAGGAAAGCAGAGGGCTTCAGCATGTGCTTAAGTGCTTTCCTGACTCCAGGCCAGGGTTTGTGCTTTAGCAGAGCACAACCTCACCCGCCTTCCTCTCCGGATCGGAGGCAGGATCCCAGGTGCTCCAGGTGATCCCTGGTATCTGCTGAGCCAGGCTGCAGCAGGATGCTCCATTGGAGCTGCTTGCCTCTTTGCCGCCATGTGTGCATGCAGAGAAACCTGGAAAAAAACAGCCACCACCTTCTTTGGAAGGAAGGAAATTGCTTTCTAATTGGGCATGTGGAAGTGAACTTGCGTGCTGACTCCTGAGGAATTTCAGCTGTTCCCCAGGGGGTTTGCAATTGCTGTTTGGGTCACATCCCGGCTCTGATCTCGGTCTTGCCTTTGGGAGTGGGATTCCTCAGCACAGAGCCGCTGGCATTTGAGGAATGAGTGATGCTTGTTTCAGAAAACCAAGCGAACGCAGTGTGTGCAGCTCAGCTGCGTTTTCCTCAGCAGAAAATTTCAGAATTTGCCTAGTGAAACGGAAAGAATTCTGAGGGAAATGAGCCCTAAGAATTGTCTGCAGGACAAAAGTTTAATCACACCGCTCTCATTAACGGCGACGTGAGTTCAGGGGCTGAAACCTTTTGCTCCTCTCCAACCAAAACCTGCACAGCCTGCTTTGCACGGACCAGGCCTACAGAAGTGGTGCTACATTATATCATTTCAGTTCCTGTACGGTCAGCAAGTAAGAAAAGTTAGCAGAGACCCCGACCTGCTCTGCTCAGAGATGGTGGGGCCAGGGAGGAGGGCTTTGCTGTGTTGGGATGCAGGGCAGGGAGGCGGCTCGCTCCGTGTCCCTTGTGAAGAAGGGTTCCTGAGTCAGACCCGGAGCTCAGCCTCAGCAGAGGGCTACCAGGGCTGGACCCTCTCCCCTGTAACGGCCTTACAGCAGCAGAGCTGAGCTCTGAAAGCCCCAGCAGTCCAGACAAACTTGGTGGCCCTCAGGCTGATGAGGATGGCGCGGAAGGGCTGAGTGCACGGCTGGGAGGACTCCAAGCAGAGCTGACCCCAGAGGCCCGGGCTGATAAACACGGCGTTCTTCCTTTCCGTTAGAGGGCTGGGCCTGGGAGCCATGGGAATCAATGGGAGTCTTTCCAGTGTGGGCTTTGGATCTTTGTCTGGATAAACAAATAGAAGGAAATAACAAATAACACGGGTCTAACAAATATTTTAGAAAGTACAAACGTCTGCCTTTCGCTACGGCTCGATCCAAACCCCACGAAGGAAAAAATGTCCCTGTTCCTGTGATGCTGTTCCATCTGCCTTTCCCCGGTGACCCCAGTTAACGCCGGCACCTCGGCCCGCACGGAAGCTGGCAGGGATCTCTGCGGGGTGCTGCCACCTCCCCGGCCGTCACCGCTGCGAGCAAAGCTCCTCCGGGCGGGCACGGGACCCCCCTTGTTTGCGGACCCATCCGCAGAAGAACCGTCGGACAGCGCCGCCGAACGGGCACGGCTCTGTAAACATCGGCGCTCCTTCGGCCGTTTCTGTGCTTTCCTGCCTCCGCAGTGAGGTTTCCTCGTCTCCCCGCTGCCTTGCAGCGACACCTGCTGCGCGCTGCTAGGAGAAGAGCGGTTTTCCTTCCTGGGAAAGCGGTTTGTCTCTGCTGGGAAGCCTTGTGGCTTTGGCTTTTAAGGTGGGAGAAGCGGAAGCGGGCAAGTCTGCGCCTTCCTCAAACACAAACATTTCTGCGGTCTGCGAGCTCTCCAACCTGGCGCAGGCTGCGGTGGCGACGCTTTTGTTTTGCAAACTCCTTCCAGCCTGTCCTTGGGTAAGATGTGGTGGAAAGCCTGCTGTTACTCCTGGCACGGAGCTCGGAAGACAGGGTTTGCTGCAGGGGAGAGGCAGAGCGGCGCGTCCCGCTCCCTGAGCAGCGCTTCGTGTGCGCGCCCCCGCCAGGAGCTGCCGCGGGGCTGGAGATGGGTCAGCTTGCCTGTTTTCCCTCCTGCTAACGCTTTGCTCCCTGGCTCCAGTTGCAGATTTTCGGCAGAGCTGGCCATGATGTTCCGCTTTGTGGTCGGAGCTCTCTTCCCAGCGCTTCTCCTGGCTGCACCACCTCCCATCAACAAACTCGCCCTTTTCCCGGACAAGAGCGCTTGGTGTGAGGCCAAGAACATCACCCAGATCGTGGGGCACAGCGGCTGCGAGTCCAAGTCCATCCAGAACAGGTAGGGATCCTACATGCCAAACCTCTTCCTGCCTTCATCGGGAAGAGCAGGCGGCCACCCTGAGCCCTCCCCCGTCCCGCTGTCTCCACAGGGCCTGCCTGGGGCAGTGTTTCAGCTACAGTGTCCCCAACACCTTCCCTCAGTCCACAGAGTCCCTGGTTCACTGCGACTCCTGCATGCCGGCGCAGTCCATGTGGGAAATTGTAAGTATCCCTGCCTGCTCCTCTGTCTTTTCTGCTCTCTGCTTTGCACTGCTGCCTCTCTGGGGGAAGTCATTCTCTTTCCCTGAGGTTGCTCTGCTCGCAGTTTCCTCCAGGCTGCCTCGGGTGTTTCTGCCCTGGCTTGAGACGCTTGGGTGGCAGGGGCTGCTGGGAGCAGCGTGACTGTGGTGATGCACGGTGCATTTGTCAGTGTAGGAAGAAGCATCCTCTGCCAGTCCCTGCATTATTCATCCTGCGTGCCCCTGCTCTCCACCACTCCCCTTTGTCACCCGCTCCTGACTTAAGAGTCACCTCCTGCCAGTCACCCCCAAACCTCCCAGCATCTGTTTCCTGCCACATGGATCCTGGAAGGACCACAAGCATCTCCAAGGGAGGTTTGGGCAACCAGGGCACTGCCTCCAGCTCTCTGCTTTGCTTTGGACGCAGTCGTTTGGGCAGATGGCTCAAGCCAAACTAGCTGAGATTATTGGCTCCGTGCTTTCTGCAGTTACCGCTGATGTTGCTGTGCCTGCAGTGCCTGGGGGCAGGTCCCGCCTCAGCCATTTCATTTCCCCAGTTGGTACAGCACCTCTCTGCAGCTGCAAGATGTTTCCAAGCACCCTCGTGTTGTGACCATGACTATTTGGGTAGCAAGCCACGATTTCTAGCTTAAAATACCCTGAGTCTGCTGTGCATGGGGCAGGTCAAGATGGCCATCGGGATCAAGCCCATGCGCTCACTGTATCCTCATCCCTCTCCCCAGGTGACACTGGACTGCCCAGGCAACGACGAGATCCCCAGGGTTGACAAGCTGGTGGAGAAGATACTTCACTGCAGCTGCCAGGCTTGCGGCAAGGAGCCGAGCCACGAGGGAGCCCTGTTCAACGTCTACTTGAACGCGGAGGAGAACATGCCCGCGGAGGGCCCCGGCCCCCACCACTATGGCCACCACCAGCAGGAGGTAGAAGAGCCCCCCGCTTCCAGCCACCACCACCACGAGGAGGAGGGCGACGAGTGACCCGGCCCTCGCGGACTGTCCTTGCAACGCGGGCAGGCAGTGTGTGCGAGGGAGAGGGCCGGGCCTTGGGGAGGGAGGGGGGTGGTAGAGGCTTTCCTGTGTAATAGCTACCCTCACGCTTTGCTCTCCACGACACCCTGGGGTTGGAGGAGCGGTTTGAGGCACGGGCAGGACGTGGGGCTGGAGCAGCGGGGCCACAGGAGGGCTGGGGGTTTCTGATGCAAAACTACTTGCACATCATAGTAATAATATATTGAGAGGAGCGGGGACGTGGGCAGAGGGGGCTTTGGCAGAGAGTGGGAGCCGAGCCGGGCTCCCCAGGGCTGTCTGCAGGATCCTCAGCCTGCTGTGGAGCCCTCGATGAGCCCTCTGGGCTTTTCTTCTGTACGTGGCTCTTGCCTGGCCTGGAGGAAGAAGGGACGTGGCTTCCCTGCAGCCACACAAGAGATGCACATCTCTTCTGTGGGATGGGGGTCTCCCTTCTTCCTCGTGCTTCCCCTGACTGCCTTGGGGTGCCTGGGCTCGGCATGGGCGCGCTGTTCCTCCTGGCGCTCGCTGGGTCCTACTTCAACCCCCGTGCCTTTGTGTGAGGTAACTCACAGGGAGCATTTTGCCCTGGCTGTGCCTCTGCGGCTGTGTGTGAGGTTGCTGGGAGCCGTGGTGGCCAGAGCCCTTTCCTTGCTGGTCCTCAGGGCCACCACAAAGCTCGCAAGGGTGAGGGAGATGCACTGTGCCATGGGCACTGGGGCTTCACATTTCACAGCCTGTGCTGGGGTGGTGTTGGTGGGAGCTGGCCCCTCTCCCCTCCTTCCCTGCTGCACTTTAATTGTGGTGGAGGGAGAAGGGGGACAAGTCCTGGGATGCTGATGGACCTTTGTAGGGACTGCTCTGGACCCCACTGCAGATGCGGGGCTGGGCTCAGGGTGGGGGCCCCTCCTGCTACCCCTCTCTCTGTTGTATAAAGCTAATTTCTTTGGCACTGTCCTGACAAGAGCTTCCAGAGCTTGTAACCGACGCCTCCCTCTCCTTTGTACAAGTTTTGGTTTGTGTTTTTTGTTGGTTTTTGGTTTTGTTTTCTTAAATAAATTAGTTCTGACTTCCATTTCTGGGCGCTCTGATGCCTGTCTGGTTTTCGGCAGCAAGCTGGATGTCAGAACCAGGCAGTGCAGGAGAGCACAAGGAGAGCCACGGTTCCCTTCAGCTTTCTGCTGCCTTCCCTTCAAGAGCAGGGAGAGCCGCTGGAAGGAAAACCAACCGCAGGGATGCAGCACCTGGCCCGTGTCTGCAGTTCTGGTCCCATTCTCGTAGGCTGTGCACGGGCTCCCTGCGGGTTCGTGCGACCTCGGTCGGTTCTGTTGCCACTAGGTGACACTCTCGATCCAGCACGTTTTGCGGCTTCCAGGAGCGCTTCTGGGCCGGAGGAAGACAAGCTTGGACCAGGACTTCACGTCAGGCTCCAGTTGCTGGAGGGAATGCAGCATGCTCAGGTGCTCAGGCTTTGTTCAGTCTGCTCTGGAGCAGAAGCTCTGCGGTGAAGCTGAGATGCTCCAAGCTTGGGGTGCAGCGGTGCTGAGAAGGAAGCAGGGCGTTGGAGCAGCAGCGTGGCCCAGCTGGGATAAACGTGTGCCGCTGCAGTGATTTATCCCAGCTGGGAGGCCGCCACAGCGTGGGCTCAGGGTGGGTTTCCTTGCTTGTTCCCAGCACAGATGGGACGAGGAAGTGAGGCTTTCCTGGTACAAACGCATTTCTAAAGCAACCTCCTGCTGCGATCAGAGCCTCGCGTGTGCGTGCTCTGCCCCGGGCTGCCTGCCAGGACAGCGTGACGCAGGGCCGGCTGGGGAGGTTTGCATGGGAGCAGAGCGTCCCAGGAGGAGATCCTGCAGATGCAAAGGGGCAGAAGCCATGCGCAGGCACCCAGGGAAGCTCATCCTGAGCAGCTATGGAGTGGCACACTGCTGGGGGGAGCACCGTGCTCCTCACACACAGAGATGAGTCCTGCTGTGCACCTCCCTTCTGTCTTGCAGATGGCATCCAGGCCAGGCACTCCCATTCAGCTGCTAGGAAAAGTGGGACAGTTGGTGAAAAGCAGATTAGCGAAGCAGATCTTGATAAAGAGATGAAGTTCTGTTCCTTCCCTTCATTCATGTTCTTGTTTCCCACTGGTATCACAGGCAGTGTGTTAGGGTCAAACAGGCACATCCTCACAACTCGCTGCTGCTGTGGCCATGGAGATGCAGGGGTGTCCCATTGTCCCATCTCTCCATCAGCACTGAGGTCGGTGCCTGTGGCTGCGGTGCCCTCAGTGGGTCCTGAGCCCATTTGAAGGACAAACCCTGCCAGCAACGAGAAGAAAACGATCAGTGTCTGCCAAGCACCTCGAGGTACTGACTGTGAAAGGTGGAGGTGGGAGCTCAGGTTGCTCGATGGCACCTGAAGATTTGGAAGCATCTTCTGGAGGATGGGATGGAGGAGCTGCTGGGGCACGTAGGGTCCTCAGCCTTGCTACCAAAGGGGCAAGTCGCCCTGGGCCCACCCAGCCCCCTGCCTGCCTCTGGCTGCTGTCTGAGAGGGCAGCTGCAGGTACTGGATGCAGGCTTTGTTGCTCTGTATTTGGTTATGCAAAATTTTGCTCTCGTCAGCCGGCACTGAGGACGGAACCTTGCACTCAGCACTGGCGGTCGGGCTCAGCCTCAGAGCGCTGTTGGCCTGCAAAGTGAGCATGGGGTCTGCACGGCAGAGGGGAGGCAGAGCACGGTGCAGGCTGTGTCTTTAAGGCACAGAAGGGAACTCTCTGGCTGCCACTTCGCAGTTTAGCCCAAATCCCCGTGTTCATTAGCAATTCATTGCATCTCCTCCTCTCCCCTCCGCCCCACCTCCTCCGTATCGGCATTTCTGCATCCTGCACTGTGCATCGCAGAGCAGCAGGTAAAAGTCTGGCTGGCTGCTGCACGCACACCGTTCACGCACATCCCCGCACGCCCGACGCACCTCTGCCGGGGGCCAGGCACCGCCGGGCGGCTTCCCGTGCTCCTGCATCTTCCTCCCCGCGTCTGAGCGTGGCTGGGAGCATCCCCGCGCCCACCCCAGGGCTGCTCTGCCTCTCCTCGCCGTCTCCGGCTGCAGCAGCAAAGCTCAGGCACGGAGGAGGTCGGTGGGGCAGAGCCCTGCAGGTGGGCGAAGGCAGCGGAGAGCTGAGAGCTGAGAGCTGAGCGTCCCCAGCGCTGCGTGGTCCGTCTGACTCCCTGGTGCAGAGCATCACAGAGTCCGGCGTGTCCTCCCGTCCAGAGCTCCCCCGGTGCCCACGGCATCCTCGGCGTCCAGCAGCGCTGTCCGGGCACATCCCGGCACGGAGGGGATTTGCAGGGACGAGCAGAAGCCTGGCTGTGAGTAGCTGGGAGGGGAACCTTGCTGCTCATCGGCTCCTGGAAATGTCACTCTGTCTTGATTGCCAGTGAAGAGAGAGAGCAGGGGAAGAGAGGGAGAAGAGAGCAGCAAGGAGGACAGCCGGAGAGATGGAGCTCCATCCCCTGGAGCCGGCGCCTGCCATGATCACCTAGCACAGGTGGAGAAGGTCCTCAGCTGCAGAGCCAGCCCCGCTGCCCCGCTCCTCATGGAGGGCATTTTGGGATCCCCCAATGCCAGCGTGCTGGGAGAGCGCTCACTGCTGGTGGGGAGCAGCTGGATGGCCGCCTTCCTCTGCTTCATCATCCTGCTGACCACAGCTGGGAACTTCCTCCTCATCCTCCTCATCGTCACCCAGCGCTCCCTCCGCAACACCTCCAACTACTTCCTGGTGTCCCTCTTCATGTCCGACCTGATGGTGGGGCTGGTGGTGATGCCCCCCGCCATGCTCAACCAGCTCTACGGCCACTGGGTGCTGAGGGGAGACTTCTGCTCCCTCTGGTACGCCTTCGACGTCATGTGCTGCAGCGCCTCCATCCTCAACCTCTGCGTCATCAGCTTGGACCGCTACCTGCTCATCATCTCCCCTCTGAAATACAAGCTGCGCATGACATCCTGCAGGGCCCTCTGGCTCATCCTGGCCACCTGGACCTTGGCTGCTCTGGCCTCCTTCCTGCCCATCAAACTGGGCTGGCACAAGCTGGAATTCGAGGTTTGGTCCCCAAATGTCACCTCCCGGGGGGACGAGGAGCAGTGCCGGCTGGTGGTCAGCTTGCCTTACGCCCTGGTGGCCTCCTGCCTGACTTTCTTCCTCCCATCTGCCGCCATCTCCTTCACCTACTGCCGCATCCTCCTGGCAGCTCGCAAGCAAGCCGTGCAGGTGGCTTCCCTCGCCTCCAACGTGGCCACTGCCACCACCGACGAGAGCACGGAGCAGGTGAAGGTCTGCAGCTGGGGGGGTGGTGGGGAAACGGTGACGGCGCCCTCTGCAGGAGCCAGGGAGCAGGGAAGGCTGGGAAGCCCACGCAGCTTGAATCTGAGTATGGGGGGCTCCAGCGTGTGCCTTGTTCCCATGCGCCGTGTCACAGCCCCAGAACGCAGGTGGGCTCCTTGTGGAGAGGAGGTGTGCAGTGGGGAGCCATGCATTTGTGATGGGACAGGAGCACACAGCCCTCGTCACACTCCTGCAGCCTGCAAGCAGCAAATCCACCGCTGCCAGCCATCAGCAGCATCTCTTGTTCTCCTGGATAAGAGTGGGGATCTGGGGCAACACCCACCTCCACAGAGGGAGGACGGTGGCTCTGCGGTGGTGCCCACATTCATCCCAGTGATGCTGAGCGCTGAAGCTGCTCAGGAGCACAGGAACAGCATGAGCAGAAGCAGAGAAATAAATTCAGATGCAAAAATGCTCAGTGGTACAAAATAAATGCCGCTTCGCTCATCCCAGAGGGCTTTAATCTTATCTGACTTTCAACTAGCAAATCTTGGCTGTGGTGGGTGCGAGCCGCATGGGGGGGAAAGGAGCTTAAACAGCAAATAGGAAATTCTGGAGGGCACCTTATTTTGCACATCCAGGTTCTATTTTTGTTACCTGGCCTACAATAGGAACTGCAAGATAGCTCTTTACTTGAGGTTGCTGGTTAAGCAGCAGCACGTGTGTTCCTGCAGCCAAAGCGTGGCTGCAGCTGGGGCTGTCTGTATATCTCCAGGAGAAGGTAATTGCCACTAAATCTAACAGCTTTAATTCCTTCTAATAGGCTTTATTGACCTCATATCCTACAGGAAAAGACAAAGTTAATTGCATTGCAGTACCTTGATTTGGTTTGTTGTTCTCTTTTAAGAAAGGAGGCAAGACTCAGACCTAGCCAGCCCTCCTGTGCACGATGAGCAGCACCAGGCTCTGAAAAGGAAAATGAGAATCAAAGGAGAGGCAGGCAATATCAAAACATGTTTGTTTTCTTTTCCCCTGGGTGACGGGTTTTTGGACTCTACGGAGCAAACCAAACCCAACCACGCCAAGCCCAATTCAACCAAATTCAACTCAACCCAACCAAACCCATCACAGCCTGATGGCCCCACTGCTGTACTGCTGGGGGATGCCCAGGTGCTCTCCTCTGCCACGGGGAGCCTGCACCCACCAACTTTTCAGCTGAATTGAAATGAGGCAAACGTCCCAGCAGGGTGCAGGTTGTAGGTTGTTGATAGCAGCCTCGCATCAGCTCGGGTGAGTGGCCAGCTGAAAATGCAGCGTCAGCTTTTAAATGGATTTTTGTTCTCTTTTTGGGCAGGAAGCTGAGTGGCAATAGAGCCTCACCTAATCGTGGCAGAGCTGAGATAATAATTAATTTTAGATTGCAAGAAGGGACAGAGAACTGAGTTAGTGACGGTGTTTGTAGGCTGAAATGCTTGACTTTTAAAAAATATGACTTTAAAAAATATGATTATTTTGCTGCTCTACTCAGCAGCCAGAGCTGCCTCTTCGGGGCACGCTTTACTCTCACCAAAGCACTGACTGAGCTGGGTTTCCTATGTCACTTAATGATAAAGCTCCTGTTTTACAGGGGAAAAAATAACCTTGTCAGTGTTGAGGTTTTCTATTGCTTCCTCTTCCTGATTTATGGTACAGAGGTGGTGGGGTGGGCCGTCCTCCCGCCTCTGCCAGAAGGGATGTAAGAGTGGGATCTTCTTGCAGGATTTGCAGCACCAAATGCCACTTCCCTTGGGCAGGAGGGTCCGGTAAGAAATTCTTACTCACCACCCCAACTCCCACTGCAGGTTCCCCATGCCCCAAGTCAGCCTGCAGCTGGCAGCGAGAGCAGGAGGTTTGCGAACAAGCACAGCAAGAAGGCACTGAAGGCCAGCCTGACACTGGGCATCCTGTTGGGCATGTTCTTCGTGGCCTGGCTCCCCTTCTTTGTCACCAATGTGACGCAGGTAAGCAAGTTCTTGGGTTTTCTTTTGGCAGAGCGAGCTTTTTTTCCAGTGGCAGTGGCCGCTGACCTTGCTGTCCTCCCCAGGCAGTGTGTGACTGTGTCCCTGCTGGCTTCTTTGACGTGCTCACCTGGCTGGGCTACTGCAACAGCACCATGAACCCCATCATCTACCCGCTCTTCATGAGGGACTTCAAGAGAGCCATGGGCAAATACCTGCCCTGCTGCCGGCGCACCGGGGAGCCCCGGCCCAGCGCCATCTCTCTCTCCATGAGGAACTCCAACAGCGGGCCCCGTGCGGCCACGTCCCTCAAGAATGTCCTCGCCTTGCAGGCTGAGACCGACTCCGTTGTCTCCGAGGCGGTGGCAAATGAACACAGCCTGCTGCCGGCAGCTGAAGGTGCCCTGCCTGCCCCCACTGCTCGCTTGGTCGGCCTTTTTGAGATGGAAAACCCAGAGCTGGAGCTGCAGTGCCGGCAGCTCGGCACCCCTGAGGCCTGAGTGCCAGCCTGGGTATGTCCACTGCGCCCAGGGGAGGAGCTCAGCTTCTGCTTGTACAGCCCAGCAGGTCACTCCTAACTCACTTCAAGGGGAAAAAAACAGATGGGAAGCACGTCCCGTGACTCGCGGGCAAGATTCGGGGCTGCTCCAGTCCTCAGCACATCATGTCCCCTGGGGACTTAATTTTCTCGCCTCATCTGGGCTGTATCTGTCAGTTTCCTGTGAAAGCAGTGACTTGCAGCATGCTGAAACCATCCTATGTAATCACGAGCAGGCAGCGCTATGGGGGATTAAATCTGGTGCAAAATGCTCAACGCTGCTTTTTGGATACTCCACACGGGTGTGGGTGTTCAGCTTGTTTGTAGCTCCACGGGTATCCTGACAGTAGTAAGGAACGAAATAAGCTTCCTTTTAGCTTTCATCCCACAGCTTCCTATTTCTGGCATACAGCCATCACACTTTGCTCTGACAACCCATCAATTTGAAGACGATGCCGTTTAGAAATCTTTTTTTTTTCCTTTTTCTTCCAATGCAGTCCGCAGGCACTTAATAAACACCAACAACTTTTTTCTGCTAATACTTCCTCAAGTGCCTTTCAGATCAGAGATGGGTTGGTCGGCTGTCGCTGTGCCCTTCCTGGACTGGTACTCCACCAGGAGGTTTTGGCTGCCCTCCTGAAGCCCACACTTGCACAAGAGAACTCCAAGCATCCCTCCAACACAGGAGGCCAGGAGAAGAAAACCGCACGCCAGGCGAAGTCTCATTCCTTGTCTTCCTGTGTTCCTGTGCTGTGTGTTCGACTGCATGAGAAATAATCCAGAGGTAAGGTGTATGGAAAGCTCGGGAGGTTGCTGGCACAGGCAGGGCTGCAAGTGAATCAAAATCACAAGCTGCAATTGCACTGAGTCAATGAAACATTCCAGATCGGGAGGTGGGAAGGTATTTGTAGCACACAGCACTTGTTTTAATGCTGAAAAACCCAGAGGTGCTCACAGGAGGGAGTTTATCCTCTTGCCACGTTCTTGCTAGGCTGCATTTTCTTGGGCTGAGGAGCAAAATCAGTCAGAAAAGGAACTTGTGTAAAGCTGAGTCCCTCCAGTTTGAGACTGGGGAAAAAGGGAGCGGATGTCAATTCACTTTATGGAAGGAGGGAGAAATCAAACAGGTTTACGTTTATTCTATGCCAAGTATTAGCTTTATTTTAAACCCATTAAAATATAACTAGAGGGGGCTTTTAAGGCTGGAGATGTGTGTGGGATGGCAAGAAGAAAGTCTCCATGTGTTGCTGGCTTGCAAGGGAAAAAGCTTCACGAAGCACTAAGTCATAAAAAGCCCATTCTGTTTTTGGCTATCCTTCACCTATGGGACTCAAAGCACGTTCCTAGTGGTAACGAGGTCTCAGACACTCATCACCATCAGTTTGCAGGAAGGGAAACAACCTTGTTGGTTGGAAAGTGTCAGAGCCATGATGGCAAACCTGCAGCAGAGTGGGGAGGGCAGCCAGAGGCTCTCAGCCTTTCGCCCCTCTGCTTAGCAGAGCTGAAGTGGAAAAATGCTTTTAATGACCTACCAATGAGTCCCTCTCCACAACATGCTTAAATATACCCACAGAGCCACCCTCTTTCCCAAGAGCTAAGTACCAGAAAGATGATCCCCAATGGTGGCAGCTGCTTCCCTCAAGAATAAAAGAGCTTGGGCAATGAGGGGACTGCCACTGCTTCCTGAGGAACTATGCTGATTTGGGCCAGAATCGGCCTTTTCTTGTCAGTGGGAGATTGCTGTGAGAGCTGTGATACGGTGATGCCATGTGCTGGGCCCTCAGCAGGGTCTGAAAGCTGCAGCTCAGCTCTGTGGGTTTTACTGATTGTGCTCTGAGAGTAGTTTTAGTGCTGAGCATCCCTGCCCATCACAAAGAGCTGCAACTGGCCTCCATGCAGGCCAGGCAAAGCGTGGGCTCGCTGATGGTTCTGCTGTCTCCCACCCAGCCACACGGCAGCCTTGGGAGCTGCAGGGCAGCAATTCACACCCTGCACGGGAAACTCTGCAGACTGTGTAGGGCAGGAGGCCGAGGATGGCTCCGTGCAGCTGATGCTGGGCACAATGCACGTGGCAGCTGCAAGGAGAGGTTTGGAGGTTCAGTTCAGTCTGTGTTATCACCTGCTGCCTGCTTTGCACTGCTGGGGCAAGCTGGGCAGGGAGGTGAACTCTCTGCAGAGAGAGATCCAGGGGAATCCTGTTGGTGAGCACAGCTGGCCAAGGATTCATCTCCTGGGTGCAGGCTGCCATCGCTGCTCGTGCCAGCACTCGCAGGCTGTGTCAGTGCAGAGCTCACGCTGGTGTTGGTTGTGGGGGCTTGGCAGTCACTGTCAGCTCCATCCTCCTCCTGCACAGTGTTTTCCTCTTCCTGAGTCTCACTGCCTGCTGCTCCTTGTGATTTCTTGGCTAGAGGGGAGAAAAGTCTGGTGCTGCCCTTCTTCTCCTGCTGACATTCCTTGGTTTTAATGCCCACAGCTTTTAGAATCGTGTCCATTTGCTTCATGTAGTCCAGGTGGCCACTGACCTACAAGCAACAGGAGGAGTGCAGTTAGGGAAAAGCTACGGGGAGCCCAGCTCAATCCAGTCCTCTATCCCAAAAGCCAACGCTGCCATGAGATCTGGCTTCAGCTCCAACAGGCTGAAAGGGACAGGTCTGAAGAATGTGGTATTCTCTGGAAATCCCCCTACAAGGCTGTGCTCCTGGACCACTTTACCCCTGAGAAATGCATGTTTAAATGCAGAGTGACAAGACTAGACTCTGAGTGCCATGAGGGTAAAGGAGGAGGTGATCTGCCCTGGTGACAGACTCCCAAGCAGGAGATTCCTTGACTCAGTTCAACTCCCTGCTCTCAGTTAAATTACACACCCTCCCTATGCCTCAGCTTCCTTGTAAAAGCAAACGTCTCATTTGTATCGAGATAAAGTAACTGGAGCAACAACTGCTGAGGGTGTTGGCTGGAAGACGAGGCAGTATTTAAATGTGCATTGATCAGTCCCATATAAAACTGGGAGTCCACGAGGTTTTAAGTTCATAAACCAAATTAAAACCAGCAGTATGTTGTTGCAAATAACCAGACATTTATCTGTAGGGTGATTTCCACGATAAGATAAACCCTTCTGATGCAGATGTTAGGAATGTGTCCTTCGTGTCAGGGCACAGGAGGGAGAGAAAACCTCCTCTGCAGTGGTAATTACTGTTAAGTGCTAAAGGCAGAAGCTGCCCTTTCTGATTCAGATGTCCTGTTCAAGCCCTACATTAGAGGTAACTACAGCCAAGACCCTCCTACAGAGCAGTCTGCAGATCTCCAAAGCTGGAAGCACAGTGCAGAACGCAGAGCTCCTGCCCAATTGCGTGAAGCAGCCTCTGAGTGGCAACATTTGGAGGCACTTAGGACTTGGAGCAAAATGAAGGATTTAATCAGCACGTCAGTAATGCAATATGCAACTTTAATCAGTCCAGATGGCTCAACAAGCTCTTGATGTTTTGAACAGATCAGTTAATTAAAACAGCCATCCAGGGTCTCGTGGACCGGCTGTTGAGACGCTCTCCCCAAAAGTACAAATCACAGCAGAGCTTGGTGCTAAAGAAGGAAACGAGCACAGCGTTGGACAAGGTGGAGAGAAACAAGAACGCAACAGACTGGCTGGGAAGGGCTGCTGGATCTCTTGGTTTGCTGTGTTCTGAAACCCCTATGGCTGCTACAATCGACCTGTGGTGGTCAGTGCTTGGGGTAGAAGTGGCACTGGGTGACATGGCATGGAGCAGTCATAGATGAACTAGATGATGACCTCAGTGGTTGGAATCTTACTGAACCATCACCGACAGAACAGCAAGCAAAATTCCCTGCTATTTCCAAGCTGTGAAGGCATCCTAGTGGGAAAATTGAGCAATTCCACTTCTCAAAAGCCTGTTTCCATCTGCTGTGCAAAGAGCTGAATGCTTCTGCTGGGTGTGCTGGGAACTTCTACATTGCAATGGACAATAAAATCTTTGAAGAGAAATAAACAGCTGTTTGATTCTTTGTCAGAACAAAGTGCAGGAGGAACATCAAAACAAAAGGAATGGAAAAGTGCTCCTGTAACCAAAGCAAACAAATTTATGCTTGTTATAAGGAAATGAAAACAGTGGGTTAGGTTTATCACTGTGCTAAGGTGACTTCTCCCCTCTTGTAACTGATGGTGCTTTGAGTCACTGGAGACACAACCCAAATATTTATACCACCAATTTGGGACAATTTGATTATAGACATAATAGCAATCAGGTGGATCTATCAGTCAGCTGGAGGAGCCATCAATTCACAGAGCGATGGAACGATTTTCGGTTTACATCAAGAGTTTCCTCATCTTGGCATCACCAGTGAACAATCTGCAGGATTTCCTTCTGACAAACACAAGTTTAAGGGAAGAAACTCAAATGCCTCCATTTCTTCCTTCCAAAAATCCTCAGTCATGGATACTGCCTCAAAACCCATGCAGCTTTCTGCTTCCATACGGTGGCAAGGTCTGGCTGATGGCAGGGCTCCCAAGCTATGCTGGTTATCAATTAAAATGCAGGCACTTTTGCCAAGCTGGAAGGCTTGGAGTTTCTCCCACTTGTCAGAGTGCTGCCTGATAGAGGACATTTGGTTTTGCCAAAACTTCCTGTTTTCCCCAGAGTTTTCTGGAAGCTTTTGGCAAAGACCCAGCAACCTCACACTGCTCAGCCAGAGGAACGGTGCTGGAGTCAGAGTGCATGCAAAAGCCAGTGGAAGGGAGGATTCCATCATGAGAACCATCAGAACATCAAGCAAACCTTGAAAGAGGCTGTGACTGGCTCGAGTTACCACAGAAACACAATTCTCCAGTATTCATTCTTTGGAAGCAAGGTTCTCCTGAACAGAGGACAGTGAACATGACCAGTAATTCAGAAGCTGGAATTTAAATGGATTAATAAAAAACGTAGATTTGACATCTGCAACAAGTTATATTGGTGGAAAACTTTGTGGAGCTGAAGTTACTTTGAAAAGACTCTCAATGTCTCTTGCATTATTCCTCTTTAATGTTTCTATTCCTGCTCTGAATAACTGATGGAATAAGGATTAGAGCATGATTCAGCCAGAGGTAATAGGCTTTGCTTCTAAGTCATCCCTTTGCACAACTGCAATTCTTTGGATTGAATAATTCACCAGCTCGACTGGTAAAAGTTCTGCTTGAATTTCAGTGGCACTTCTTGAGCAAGACAGTAATTTTTACACACAATCACCTTTCAGCCACAACTCACTGATCAAATCCTTCTCACCTCTGTAACTGGGGGCTCAGGCCAGTGTCACACCAATGCCATTACTTCCCTCTGTGTTTTTCTCCACCAAACTTTGATACCTTTTGTGGGCACACGTCGATGTTGGCAGTTCTGGGTGAGCACTGTTTTTCTGTTTGGAGTTGTGCATTGCTGAGAAACTCAGTTTTCCTCTCAACCCACCTCTGCCAGTTCCAAGAGCACTATGATGGAGAGCTTTAGCTACGTGGTGTGTGAACACTGAGTCTTTCCAGCCATGTCACTGTCACTAAGCATGCCACTTACTCCTACAGTGGCTGTAATCCAATACTTATCTGTCTGTGCTAAGTCAAGTAGAAGGTACTTAAATTAGATGGTATAAGGAACGTCTTAAAGTCCTGGAATACACCAGGCACGTAATTGTAGCTGGGAAATGGTTTGAACATAATCTCTTAGATCTCAGAGGAAAAGAGATGCCCCAAAATAAAGGCTGCATTAATGTACTGAAGCACCTGGAAGACCCAGAAATCTGACATCATGAACTACAGCAGTCCACCAGCGATGCAACACTGATCAAGTCAGGATGATGGAGAAGTTTCAGAGGAGCTCAGTTTCTGCAAATGAGGACTCTGAGATGAGATGAAGTCTCCGTATCCGGATGGTGTAACTGTGCCTGCAGCAGGGGGAGACTCCTCCCCTGTGACTCTGACAAAGACCCATCACCCCTCCTCTCCCCTTCTTCCTCCAGGAATAATGAGATCTGGAAGTCAAACGTTACCAAAACAGACCAGATTTTCAGCTTCATGGAATGAGATCAGTTTTCACCAGCTAAGCGCTGGGGTGCAGAGCACGCGTCAGCATTCTCTGAAGGGCATCCCCAGCTCCTCCTCTTCCTTACCTGCCCGTAGCACAGGTAACATCTCTTACCAAATCTCAGACTAGGAAACCAAATCATGACTTATGCTCAATGGTACAGGAAATAAGCATGAACCTGGCTAGTTCCAGTGAGTTGGAACGAGTTCTTGCTGCACCATTCGCTAAATGACTTTTCCTGCAGCTCCTGTCCTGTGCCTCATCCCAGACTGCTCAAAAAGACTCACCATTTATGAGACTTGTACTGATCCCAAGCACTTACTCTGGGGCAATGGCTCACATCTCCCTCCGCTCCCATTTTGCTGATGGAAATGACTGTATGTGCTGAAAGGAGGAAATGATGTGGTGGCTGAAGAGTGATAACAGCTTCCAAGATAACGCCTGGGTTATGAGGGCATAACTCTCCTCCTTACGTCACAACACCCACTTCTGCACTGCCAGAAATCAAACTGCCCTCTCTCTTTTAGTGGGTGATTCAGTGAGAGCTGTGCTCTTTAGTGCCATTCTCCCAGTGCAGATTACAGCCTCTTGTCCTTTACTGTCTCCCATGCCAGACTGAAACTTTGGATGGGTGGCTTAAAGGCATGGGTTCAACCACCAGCAGGTAGGACAGAGGAAACAGGAAGCTAAATTCTCCTAAATCCACCTGACTGTTCTTTGTGTAGCCACTCTTCCAGAACCAAACATTATTAACACAACGTAGGAAAAACTTCCACTGCTTTCACTGGCAGTTTTCCTTGTGTAATGGCTGTGTGATTGGGATGGCTGCTTGCAAAACCTACAGCTACAAACCTGTTCACTATAAACCTGTCAAGAACAGAGTCTGCACTGTCTGCCTTTATGAGAACAAATTTTTATAGGGTACTTCAAAATGGTTCTCTTTGCCTTTTAGGAGCAGCTAAATATCCCCTGCCTTCCAAGGGGTACATCAAGATTAAGCAGTACGTCTGTGATGGAGCAAGGAGGAGCTGCGCCCTTTGAGTTTTCATCTGCCACCAAGGGAAAACAAACTAAAAGTTATTAATAGCTCAGTTTGCACTTTTTTGGAGAAAGCCTTTCAGTTCCTTCCTCTGATTCGATATATTAACACTGTCAGTGCCCACTCCTTGAAGATAAAACATCTTTAACATGTATTTAATATATGATTCAATCGTCGGAGCTCCCAAATGTGTTCAACAGCAAGAGACACCCCTCAAAACTAAGGCCTGACCACTTCAGGGTTGCAGGGACACATGAAGAGGAAGCAATCATCTCTGTGAGCTTTTATATCCCAGTGCAGCCCAAATAATAGAGGGACAGACCCCTTACAGCCTAGCAAACCACTAGACTTGTCTTCACAAAGACTTGCACATCCTTCTGGGAAGAAATCATCATCAAACTTGGCCACCAAAGAACTGTTCCAGCACCACCACCAACAGCACTTCCCTTCTGCCAGCTGACAAAGGGATGAGAAGAAAAGAAACACATATTTGGGATGCTGAATAGATTGAGAAGAAAACCTTGTGAGACTAAAGAGGAGACACTAAGGAGTTATTTCAGGGGAGATCAGTTCCCTGTGACACCGTGAAGAGGACTGGATTTGTCTGCCTTTCTGTGTGCAGATTTGAGAGAACGCTCTCCAGGAGCCACTGTCTGAAGCCAAGTTCTGCACCTCACTGCTGCTCTTGTGATCCTCTTCATTCCTGTTACCATGGGAGGTGGCACTGCTCATTTGAAACAAGTAGAATAAGGGTTTAATGAGAACAGGCAACCTTTTGCATTTCCAACTCCCCGTGTTCTTAATTAATCCCCATTTTGTAACCACAATTAGTTCTTTGCTTCAAGTCTTGGGAATACTAGAAATAACCAAACAACAGTTTAAAGTATTTTGGGGGAAACGCCTGAACCACAGAAGTGCCAAATCAATTGGATTGCACAAGATTCACACTTGTCATCTGCTTCTGGTATTTCTGTACCTGGCTGGCTGAAGGCCAGACTGTTTGGAGCCTGTTTGCATTCCCTTCTAACAGGAACACTGAGCTCCTCTCTGAGAGCGCTTTTGGAAGAGAGATCAGTTATTCCTGTTTTTCAATTGCTGAAAGACAGCTTCCCCAGCACTCAGTTCCCACAGCAAAGAACAGGTAGAAAGCTTTTGAGGTGGTTCACAGGGAAGAAGCAAAGGAGTGCCAAGGTGAGACATGGACTATTCTAAAAACGAGCTCTGCTGTTTTGCCTTATGTCATGCAGAGATGCTGCAGGAGAACACGGCTGTGTGCACGTTTTGCTGCTACATCCTGTTACAGCAACTGCTCTAGAGATAAAGAAAAGCACTTGTGTCTGTGAGCTGTACAAACCACAGCTCCATCCAGCTGTGTGCTTGAGCAAGGAGGGGTTTAATCTCAGGTGGCGTTTCTGTTGTTCCCCTTATGGGAATTTATCAGCTCCAGCATGATTTGAGCAGCTGCCATTCAGACACCATGTCAGTGAAAAGCACAAAAAGGAGAATTTAGCTGCCAACGTGCTCTCTAGCAGACTTCCACCCATGCATTCCTATTGCCCCAAGCTTGAGAGTTCATCCCTGCTTTTTGCTGCAGTAGAACTGCCCAGAGGAACAGAAGCAGCCATTCCTGACTTGTGAGCTTCTGCTTCTGACTCTGAGCAGTGCTGCAGTATTCAAATGTTAGTCCAAAATGTAATCTACAATATCCCACTTGAACAAACAGCAATCAATCCATTACAGCTCAGTCACTTCCTTGGTATCCCTAACAGGTGCTGTCAAATAAATCCACTGAACAAATCAGTCCCATTGTAACCATTAGGAAGGCTTTTATAACTGCATTTGTTGAGTGGGAGAACATTCTTCCTTCATTCTTTTTTTTTCTGACAACCAGAAAAAAAAAAACCCCAACACATACTAATCAAGAGAGACGTGCCAGAAATGCCTCACAGGTGAACTCGTGCTCAGAGCGAGGTCTCCTAGTCCACCACTCATTGGAAGATTGTGATGCACAGAGAAGCAACCCCTTTGGGCCCAGACTATTGCTCATCCTGGACGGACCGTGAGATGACACAACACTGAAGCTGTCTGTGCAATACTTTCACACTCAGCACCCTGCATCACCCAAGCTTTATTTCTCTATCACTGCTCATCCCTGCCTATCCCTGGTTGCGTTTCAGTGGGACCTGAAGGACTCCAATGTTGCAGCTGTCCTTGCTGAAGGTCCCTCGGCAGCTGGGTGGCTGCACAGCCACTCTTTGCAGGTCTTTCCAGGTCCTTTGCAGAGCCCCAGGATGGTCTGTGAGGGTTGAGGGCAGAAATAGAAATGAAGGCATGACGGATAAGCTCATCCCAGTGCCTGCTCATTGTGCTGAAAAGCAGGCAATTAACGATCATCATTATTGTTCCTCAAAAGCAGTGAGAGCTTAATTGAAAAGCACTCCTGTTTTTCAGATGCTTAATTTCCACTGAAGCTGAGAATGAACTGTATTTGTCTGGTGATCTCAGGATGCATCCGAGATCTCTGCAATCCCAGCAAGCCAAACTCTTCCACATACAGCCAAGCACCCTGACTGGAAACGCGCATCAAGCTGTCTCCTCTTCAGCAGCCCCATCTCTGTGGGCTGTGAATGTGCCCATTTCTCAAGTCGTTCTATTTATTCTTAATGTTTTGAGAGCCAAAGCTCAAAGAGAAAAACTCATAAGGGGAAGCAGCAAAGCAATAGGCTCCAATGAATTACCCCACAGCAGAAGGCACTCACCATGGAACCCTTCTCAGGCAACACTATCTACAGACAGCGGAGTCTCAGCATCACTTCAGGACCTTTTTCAAATCAGATGTGTGTTGTGGGTTATAAATCTTTCTGCATAAGACATCTAAATGATAGGAAACTCCAAATATTTTATGGAATTAGGTTTAAAAAAAAAAAGAAAAAAAGAAAAAACCTTTACTGGGAAGCTGAAGGAGGCCTCTTAGTCCTCCTTTGCTTGAGCCATTACACTCCATTTCTCTGAAATGTGCACCAAATGACAAGCTCTCTGCAAGGCAGATACCTGATTTACATGTATACATAAGAATATGCATTGCCATGGGTGTGCAGTGCCATCTTCTCTATTTCTGTAGAAAAATCAGGAGGATGTTCTGTTAGGCAGGATACTGAACTTGATGGATATTAGTCTGAACTACTGTAGCTGTTCTTATGTTTTGTTTCCTCTACCAGAAAGACAGATTTTTTTTGTTTAGTAAAGCAGATTTCTTGTATTCTGCAATTTATAGAAAACATCTCTCTATATTTCTCTTATGCAACTGCACTACATTTGCAGCAAGATCCATCCTTGCTTACTTGTCACTTTTTACACAGAGCTTCTGAATATTTCCTTCCCCTTCTTGCTCTCTCTTTTTACTTTTAAAATGTTCGTCAGAACACACTGTGTTTCTTTTCATAAAGCTCCATGCTCTGGAAAATGGATCAAGAGAATGACACTTACTTAATACACGTTTTCCTCGCTGTGGGAATTGCTCTTTTTTTCCCCCCGTGCTTTGCAGTAAGATTAAAGAAGTGAAAGTGTCAGCTCTTTCTGAAATGAGAACAGTGCTGGGATTGTCTGCTGGCATCAGGCAGCGCAGGCACAGATGCACAACAGCAGAAGATCAGCAGATTGCAGCTCTGCAGCCATGATTCATTTAGCTGAATGGTAAATGGTTCCTTTGGGGAAGAATGGAGAGGCTGAGGGCAGGGTCAGGTCTGCAGGACTCCAGGGGGTTTGAGGGTCAGAAAGCAAAAGGTCAACAGAAGGAGAGGCTCTGAAGAGAGGAGAGCAACCTGGACTAAGTTAACAGGAAACATCACCCCAGTGTCATCACTGCTTGGCTTCTTCAGCCATTTAGATACTGGCAAGTGACTGATGACAATCCCAGGGATAGTGAAAAAAGTGAATGTGGGAGTGTGTGGAAATGCTAACCAAGGCAACCCAGGAAAGTGCAAAGATTCCAGAACAGCTACAGTGCTGGACCAATGTTAAAAGGTTCTACCATACCACTTCCTTCTAGGAGGCCCACATTTTGGTCTGTGAAGTTCTTATTTTATCTGTATGGCATTAAGCTCTGTGTTTTCTGGCAAGGGCTCATAGCTCAGTTATAATGAATGAAACGAGCTGGTAACAGTTGGGTATTTTTAGGATCAGCAGGCTGGTTCTCAAAAAATTGAAAGAATTTAAAAGTGCCTTTGGCTCCAGAGCAACACTGACAGTGCTACCAGCTTGTGGGAACAGGCAGGAGGGGTCACAGCAGGAAGAATGATGACAGATGTGCCCTGAGCTTTGTGCTCCTCCAGTCCAATCTGCAGAGTAAAAGATGAGCTGAATCATTAAGATATGGGAAAACAAGACTGCACGCCCAAGATCCCAGTGATTATGAACACAGAAGCCAAGTTCTGCATGATCTGCTCTGTAAGAGTTCGCTCATGTGTAACGATGAGGCACTGAGATCATTAGTTTGCTTACGATAATCGAGTTGAATACTGCTAATCAGTAATGACAGCTCTGAGGAAGCTGAGTGTCTACCATGCACACAGGTGAAACAGGTGAAGCAACACTTCCTGCCTCCTGAAAACACGTACCCCAAATCACAGCAGCCTCACAGCCCAGCAAACCAGCAAACTGCTACCACAGAGCTGTCAGTGCAAGCTGCCTCTTGCACCAGGGTCACTGTGGCCCAGGACCAAGGTACAAGGGCATGCAATCATCCCCGTGTGAACTGGCACTGTGCTGGAGGAGCCATCCAGATAAGGCTGCAGGCTGCACCTGCTCTGCTGCCATGTGTAGCTGCACGTTCCCCAGCTGCTGACCTACCGTCCCAGCATCACGCTTCCTCCTGACCAGTGACCGTGAGGACAGATGGGAAAAGTGAGACTAGAAGTAGTACTTACTACAGATGAAAGGTCCATGTTTACCATCCTCCTGTCGTCCAGCTTGACTGGCTGGAGGCCAGCAACATTTAGCTGGACAGAAGAGGTTCTGTATACAAATCCCAGCAGCCAGTCTCCCCTAGGAGCAGAGCAAAAGAAGAGTGTGAATAACTCCTATCGCTAAACTTGCACAACATGTGACTACACAGAGCACAGGGAGAACAGAAGGGCTGGGAAGCACAGTCTAGTCTGGAGCAATGCCCACTGCAGCTTTGTCAGACACAGGAATCAGAGCAGTTGCCAAAATCAGGACAGACTCCTGGGAGGTAAGAGTGTGAGTCTTAGTTAAATCCTGATTTGGGGATGCAGTCTCATTACACTCAGTGAGTTTAAAAATCCGACCCTTTCTGGGTTTGCTTGGAGGCTGCAATACATTCACATTTACTCTTTTTAGTGCACTAATAGGTTGAAGTTCTGCAGGCTCCAGAGAGCTGTAAATGTGATGAGGCCAACGATACCAATGCTGCTGATGCAGACATGGGCTGTGAAGCTCCTCAGCACGCTCCTGATTTATAGGTACTGTATAAATATGTAGTTTCAGTGACAGTAGTAGGAAGGGTCTGTTTCCACTGTCAAGTGTTGCTGTAAGTCCCTGTGGCAGTATCAGGGTAGGCTACAGGATGAAGAGAGGAGGTGATGCATCCTGTGGAAATACATTGCTTGTTCTGTGCAGAACCCAGGTGCCTGAACACCACTACAGCCTGTGGAGCAGATTTAAGCTGGATGTGAGGGGTGTGCAGACTGGGGCTGCTCCTTTCACTGCAAAATGCTGTGAGCTAAAAGTCAGGAGGCAAGTCTACGCAGAGCTCTGCAAAATCTTTGCAGCACATCCACACTGCATTACAGTCACTTTTTTATCAGTCACCCCATGGCTGGCTTTTTTTGACATGCTCAATGACTCTTAACTAATTTGGTTAAGGTTTTCCACTAGGAATTTGTAACCTTGCTGTGAAATCAAGGGGGACAGCCCTGACAGCTGGATTTCACTCCCTGCCTCCTTTCAGACTTCAAAGCTGAAAGAGATGAGCTGCAGCAGCCTGAAGCTCAACAAATTGTGTCCAAATCTGATCTTGCAGAAGTATTATTCAGTGTAATTCATGTGAACTAAATATAGCTACTCCTGAAGTGACAGAACAAGGACAAAATTTGTATGAGCAAGAGTCAGAGTGATGAGATTCAGGTGGGGCTTTATCAAGAAATGTTTGTACAGTCCTTCTCTCACACCTAGGGAACCTCCCCTAGCTGCCCCTTGTGCCAACAGAGTAATATTCAAATTCAGCAGCTGAGAGCAAAGCAGAGAACTGATGCAGCTGAGTATTTCCTGATAGTCTCCTCACCTGCTTCTTCCTATTTGTGGGCAGCATGCTACAATTTCTACACCTTTTTTCCTTCAACACTCAGTAGATGGGTAGACTAACCAAATTACTGCCTACACGAAGATAAGAACATACAAGGTGCTCCAACAGCATAGACAGGCTTTGAAACTGTAACAAAATGATTTCCTTTTCATTACAGCAAATGGAACACTGAGCTTTTAGCACTGAAACAGATACTTGTTTAACACATGGAGGAGCAACATTTGCCAGGGCAAATGCAGCTCTGTGCAACAACTGCTGTATTTATGGCTTCTTGGAGGAACACAGAAGCATTCCCAAGTCCCCAGTCACTGATCGACAGGAGGCAGCAATTGCTTTTTCCCTGTGTCACATGAAGAAATATTTTAACTGGTGTGCACATCCAGCATCCATAAAAAGTCCTGTGATCCAGAAAAGACAAAAGCAACATTTTTCAGCCTGACAGATGGGATTAATGATTTTTTTTTTTTTTGGGGGGGGAGAGGGCTATAATCTTGAATGCTCTTAAATCCTTTCATTTAATTCTTTGTAAAGTAATATACTATGTTAGATGTGCAGTAACACATTAATTTCTCATCTTATACACATGTAATACATACACATGTGCATCTGGAAAGGACCAACAGCATTTCAGCTGTCCTTGATCTGAGGGCTTGTGGCTCCAGAGCTGTCTTTACTCAGTTACATGTTCTTTGCTAATCTTCTTGCCCAGTTATTTCTCAGTTTATTTTCCCATGCTCTTCCCTGCTTCCTTCCTTCATTTTAATTTCCCTCTTCTAATTGTGTGGTAAATGGAGCTCTTGTCACAATTATCTCCCAAAACAGTCATTAGATTTGGTACTGTCAATTGAATTCTTAATAGCTTTTGCAACACGACTTCAGTTGCTTCTGGCCTCTGACTCTCCCTCTTCTCACCCAGCAGCTCTCACACCTCTGCACAGCACTTATCTGCACAGTTTTAAAGGCTGGCTTTCAGTTTCAAGGTAACCTTCCTATTCTTTCACATCCTTAGTAAATCTGTGACAGCCATCCCAGTTGGATCCCCTCTGCAAGTGAAATGTTTTGTTCACATGGACTACCTTGACCAGAAACAGTCTAGATATAGCAAGAGCAGGACCTGTGTATCGAGAACCTCTGCCTCCCACTGTAAGTGTGCACCACAAACAGGCAAGAACTGGGGACAGAGCAGCCTTGAACTGTCTCCTGAAGACTGCCATCTCCAACTAATCTGAAGAAGAGACCTCTGCAGAGAAGAGACTCAGGCACTGCTCAATCTGTGGACTCACCAGCTGAACAAACACGCGCTCACAGAACATTTATAAGGGACAGATGTGCAGAACCATTTCAAAGTGACACTGCAACAGTGAAGCAGGGCACTGTGTGCACAGACCTGCAGTAACCATTGATGATCCTGCCTGACACCACTTTTGTGATCGCCTTCCAGTTCTTGGCCTCTCCCTCCACTGGAGCTCCCAGCAGCACCACATCTTCAATGATCCCTTGGGAGTCTGTTAAGGTGAAAGCAGAACAGCTCAGGTTTAGAAGACAGATCAGACAGCATTTGCCAACCATCAAACTGGTTTGATTTTCTTTGAGAGGTGCCTCAGTGCACAGGGCAGCATTTGCTGAATAGGCATGTTGACTTATGCAGTGCGAGGGCTGCTCCAAAAGTAATGCCTCCTGTGTTATTCTGCTGGCCCACAACATCAGAGGCAAATGTTGAGGATATGGAAGTAGAGGTTAAACCTTCTACCAATCTCCCATTACATTTTGTTACCATGCAACAGATGGCAGCAGAGGGGCAGCCTGACAGAGTGGCATCTGATATGAAGCTGTGTATGGAGCTGAGTATCTCTTTTAATGCATTGGAAACAATGGTGGCAATGTTGGAACGTTGCAAAGTTTGCACCAGGTGGATCCCATGAATGCTCACATGGGAAGAGAAAGAACATCATACACAGGTTTGCCAGCACCCAGTGAATCAAAACGAAGCTGAAGGAGCTGAACCTGAATCACACAATTATGGGTGCTGTGGTGCTGAAGAAAATGCACAGCTAATGGTGGTGATAAATTTGCTCTACCAAATAGTGTTACTGTGCTCTTTGCAGTTGTGTTTTCCATGGAAATAAACAGCAGGCATTACTTTTGGAGTGACCTACATAAATCTTTCTCTCTTATGTGACAGCTGCAGCTGGGAAATTTCAATTGAAATGACAAAATGAAGAACATTGGGCAGCTCTGCAACAGTCCTAGATTAAAATTTAAATATTAATGTGCTTTGCCACTCCTGCCATCTGAAGACAAGAAGAGACAGCCTCAGTCTAGACACCATTATTCTGTGCAGATACAGGCTTGAAAACAGGCAAAGATGCTCTTAAACAATATATTAATATACATTCCTAACTCTTCTTTGTAAGCAGACATCAAGCACCTGATGTAGTAGTTAAGTGAAATTCAGCCCTGCAGTCTCAGGAGCCTCATGGGCAGTGCTGAATCAATGCTCTCCAGCTGAGACCAGAGTCCACAAGATGTGAGCTGAACTTTTTTCGAGCTGGTGCCTGCAGTTTGTAAAATAATATGCTGAAAATTTCTGGGAAGTGAAGGTAAGAGTGCACCACTATAAGCTGTGATGGAGAGGCGATGCCTGGCTTAAAGGCTGATGCCTTCAAATAGAAATCAAATGGTTTCTTTTCCCTAATAGCACTAAAAACTTGGAGCTCCCTGCAGTGCCTGCATCTTTCGACACAGTGTAAATCCCAGCACCTGACAACAGTCCAAAAGAGCTCTCTTGATATTATTTCTTATTGCAAAGAAAATTTTGCACCAATCAAGAGAACAGCAAAGAGCAATTCAATTTTGTTAGTGTAATCTGTGAGCAATAAAGTCCTGTGTTTCCACAGTCATGGGCAATGAAAAGGAAACCCAGCGCCTGTTCAGGGAGGTTGCTCCAACCGAGGTACTAAATTCCATGGCCACAATGTGAGCCAACTGAATAAACAAACAGTTCATCAGGATCTTGGACATTTGGGCAAGGTGTTGGAAGCTTTTTTTTTTTTTTCCTCCAGTCCTTTGCACAGCTTATTTTGTGCTTAGAAGAAAAAAAGTCCAGGTTTGGCTGAAAAACACCCATTTTCTTTCAATGCTGACAGAAATCTGAGAACAGATCAGTGACCTCTGTTGGTGCTGGTGCTCAAGATAAATGAAACGTATTTCACAGTTTGCAAATCTTTTATACTGATGGAGAAAAACAAAGTCTGTATAAAGCAGGAAAATAAAAATACAAAAACGTTACTGATGGGAGAAGATTGCTGACTGATAAGATTATTTGCCCAGTAAAGGGGAGAATGATCCAGGCTAAGCAGGAGGCTGTAACCAGTTTTCAGGCTCTCCTGTGCCTTTAGTACAAATCACTGAGCAAAGAGGAAACATCAGGTGAGTCCTCACTGGAAAAGAAGAGTGATGGAACTCAGGAATCACCACGAACACGTCAGAGCAATGGGCTCCCTGTGCCATAACAGGTCTCTGATGGGGCATTACTGCCCCTCTGACTACAGTGCTATTTTCTGGAAACTAAGCTCTGGCTTCCAAAGCCATTTGCAAGGAAGGATCCCACAGATTATTTACCTGAATGGCAGAAGAGTGTTTTCTTTTAACAGACTTTGAATTTTTGCCACGGTCTTTCCCTGAATAATCCACGATTAGCTATTTGTCCTCATAAATGCCACTGCCATCTGGATGCAAAAGGCTTTCCATTTCTTTTGTGTGAGACAACCAAGTCCAAACCAAAATCAGTCTCAGATGTCCCAGGTCTCAGCTTCATTCCTCCCGTGGCTTGCTCTGGAATGTGCATGTGAAGAACGCCTTGGCAATCTGCACCAAACATGCTGCTTTTCATCTCACAAACAGCTCAGCTTTCATAATTCAATTAAGGAACTGAAAAATTAGTGTACTGTGGGGAGCTGCTATGATCCATAATTACGATGCTTAGATTTCTTTAGAATAGCAGCCAGCTTTAAAGACCCCATAGGATTCCCTTTCATGTATTACTTAGCTAAGGTCCCCTGTTATTCCAGTGAGAGATAGCAGACCTCTAAATAAAAGCCTGAAAATACTTCAGCCCTTAACATCCTCGAGACACAAAAAGAGCTGATCTAGAGCAGGACTAGGATCTGGATTCTGGCTTCAGTGTAACTCCATTAGGATCATTCTGGACTTGATTAGATTTATCCTGAGAACTGAATTCTCTATTTGAGGACTTCTGTCTTAACCCAGAAGTGAAGTTCTGGTATACAGCTGTCAAAAGAAACTATGTTGACCTCCTTTGTCCTCACCCGACACCAACCCCACCTTCCTGGACTTTATTGAACATTTTACTTCACAGAGCTCCTTATTTATGAGAGACTTTCTGTGAGCTGCACAGTTAATGAACCACATGAGCTATGTATGTATGCAGGCTGCACACACACACTCGCACTGACTCGACTCCAAGATGCATTTCACATCAACTGATCATTATGATTTTATTCTTTTTCTCAAATTAAAAATAGAATCTATTAATAAACAGAAACACAACGGGTAATAAATTGACAGATGGTTTTATACTTGACTTCAGGGAAAAATTATCATGAAAATAGCAGATGACAGTGGCATTTCAATGACTTAAATGGAAGGGAGGACTCAAGGAATTAGATACAATAGCTACAGAGAGCTGCCAATAAAGGCAAGGCGTCCTCTGCCAGGATCTCAGTGGCCCTGGGCAGCTCACAGATTGATCTAGTGCTCCAATGTCACAACATGTCAGGGTTGTTATTTACAGACTGGTGTCCAAACCACGCTGTCAGCCACACTGGAGCACCTCTAATGAAGACTGTGGATTTAATCCATTGAACTGGTGGAACTGACAGGACAAATTGGCCTCAAACGCATTTCAAAACCATTTTTTTAGGTTTCTGATTCTAAAAAACCTCAAACTCTCTTGCAGAAGAACATTTCATTGGAAGGAAAATTGATCAGCAGTAAGGAAAACGAAGAGGAAGAGGACCAGAAGGTGAAGCTTACCTTTCTCGTGAGCCATCTCCTGCAGGCAGAAGTAGATAACTCTGGCACCCAGACTGAAGCCAATCAGTGTGACAGGTCGCTTGCCCTAACAATGAAAGAAAGGAGAAAAAGCCATAAAAGTTCCACTAGACCTGGAAAGAAACACCAGCCACAGGCTTCCCAAGACCCCACAGAGAGCACCATGCTGGTGCTTGGTCTTTTAAGCATGTTAAGATTCTGTCAGTTTCAAAGAGATTGTCCCCGAAGTTTTGCACAGTTCAATATCCGGAGAATCTGTTATTTTGGATTTTTGATAGCTAGAAAATCCATTGAAAGAATCCAGTGATAAGATGTTACTCAAACAGAAATCAAACAGACCGTTCTGAAATTTCCAACAGAGAGCCTAATACGTGGAGCAAACATTTTTCTGGAAATGTTTCAATAAACAGAAAAAGCAGCAGTAAATCAACAATACTGGACACTTTTAGATTTGAGACTGAATGGCAGCACAGCAGCACTGCGTGGCTGTTATAAAAATGACGTGTGGAAAGCTTTTATTTTGAACAGCCTAATGAGATTTTCCTAAAGATCAAAGAGAGCTTAATCTCAGCAGCAATGGTCTTTGTATGAACCAGGGAGCAGGTGTGTGATGGACTCCCCAGACATCATGCTAACTCGTGTAGGCTCTGCAGCACACTGGAATGTGTGTTCCCACAACAGTTAACACTTGAAAGGCAGTAACAAATGCCCCAGCATAACAAAGGGCTTGTATGAAATAAAGTTTATTGCCTTTCCTGGGATTGTATTTTTATGAGAAATGGAGTTTGTTTCTACCCTGCACATTCATGATGTGGCCACAGCTCTCACAGGGCCCCTCCATAACAGATTCTGGACTAGCACACCTGTGAGAAACAAGTGGCCAGCAGAACACTGCCTCCCCCTGTGCCAGAGTAGCCCAGCAAACAACAGCAGGCTCTGGGGAGGCAGAAATGACTTTCATAAGCCACCTCAGGGAGCCTTGATGATGTCCATCCCTTCTTTCAGGTACCAGTCCATTTCACTTCCTTGTTTTGGCTGTTGTATTTCACCTCTAGTTTGAGCTTGCATCCCATTTGGACATGTTTTTTTCTTACAAGTCTTTGATACCACGCTGCTCTCTCTTCCCTCTTCTTCCATTTGTGAATGCCCTCTGCTTTTTTCATTTTCCCTTTAGCTCATATCCTGCCTTTTGTTTCACAGGTTTCCAGCACGAGCATGGAATTTACTAATAACTGTGCCCTTACACTTACAAAGTTCTTGTTGGAATCACCTGAATAGCAACATCTGTACAGATCTGTGCTCATGGCCACTTCCATACCAGTGCTCTGCAGGTACAGCAATGCAGGGAAGCACAAGTGCATTTATCATGGTGGGTCAGCATGTGCAATCCTTGCTTGTGTGCCTGATAAAAATGAAGGAAACTGCAAGCTACTGAGATCTCTTCCCAATTCCTCCCAAGAGAAGACACGTCAAAAAGAAGAAAAATCCAGCTCTTCTCTTTTTCTTTCTGTTTCAAAGGATTCTGTTAGCTGCCTTTCAGCACTGGATTTTCCTCCTTAACTCTGCAAGAATACTGGAAAGGCATGGTCATAATTATTCCAGACTGAAGCCTGATGAAAGCTGGTGCAGTTGCAGTTTAGGATCAATAAAAGAAGAGAGAAGCTGGATTCTTCAATTCAACTGTTTTATATGTGTTCTGGTATCATTCAGGCAAAAACAGGGCTCATGCTGCATGTAATGCTGCAGGGTATTCTCTTACACTGTTTTGTGCCCCTTAATTCACAGTGAGTACTTTGAGCACTCTGTATTCTCTCCTCCTTCCCACCTACCTTTCCTTCTGTGCTCAGATTTTCACTCAGTGAGTCGGCCTGCCTGCTTAAGGCATGTTCAATCCACTTGTCATTTATGACCTGGATCACTCCTTCATTTAGGGAAGCTTTGGGACTTGGTCATTTTCCTCAATTAACTCAATTAATTCCAGATACATGCTGGTCACCTTCGTGCATCTTTTTTTCTCTTTTTTCATTTTTCATGTTATTATTCATTTTCTTCCCTCGGGAAAGATATCTATAATTTTCCCCCCATGGGCCAGATCTTTTCCTGACATTCTTTCTGGATAATTTCAATACCTGCTGTCGACTGAGCAGTATATGTGCCAGGTGCTTGCCTACTTCAGCAGACCGATGCAGACACACTCCCCAGGGGTTGTCAATGACATTGGCAACAGTCAAGAGTGAAGTTGGCCAAGTCAAGGCCGTAACAATACCTGCAACACAGAAAACAAACAGTGCAGCACACTCACAAATCTGGATTGCTCTTAGGAAACAGCAAAACAAGATGGTTCACTGAAGTTAAAAGCTAAACCTATGGCCTTTTGTCATTTTCAGTGCTTCTTTCTCAAGAGCTGGTCTGAGAAATGTTTTGCTAGACTACAGATAAGAAAGAATCTGATGTTCCGATATGGAGGCAAACAGACACCATACATGAATGCAACCTGCATGTTTGAAAGGTTTGTGTAAAGCACTAAAACACAGTGTAATAATACAGAGAAATAAATGCACATGTGAAGGAAGGTGTTTCCAGCTGTAATTTTAAAAGAACAAGTCCATGACTCAGAGCAGAGCAATCCAGGAAAGCAATTCTGAATTACAGGTGTGGTACAGAAGGTTCTCAGGCCACTTTTGCAGGGTGATGCCAATATGCCTTCCCAGAAATCCTCTCTGATCAGGAAAGCTCCTTTAAATAAACACCAACAGTGAAACTGTACAAACACAGATCCAGTACAATATGGGTTCTTACCTGACAAAACAGTGAATTTTAGGGCTTCCTGAGCCATCATGTTAACAAAACCATTCACCAGGGTATCCAAGGCACTGCCAAGCTCCATCAAGTACTTGGATTCCCAGGCCAGACAGTATTGCTCACTCGAATGCAACATGCTGCTCCATGGTGCTGTGAAGCTTCCTGAGAAAAGTTGCAGGCATTGAATTCGTGTTCACTGAAAGCACAACAGTGGCTGACTCCTGGCAAGACAGCTCCAAAAAAGGAGCCAGAAAAGAACCTGGAGGGCACTGGAACATTCTGTGATAATCAGGAATTGCATTTAAAAATACTGTTAGATTTAGACTCCATAGTTCTACCATTTTACAATAAATTTTGGCTTTGTGAATAATCCCACAGCTTTAGCTGCTCTGGCAAAGTCTTCAGTGCAGACTGAGATACTGCATGCAGGCTGAGACTTCACGACCCACTCAGGTAGCTCAGCCTGCCAAGACAGATGGACATTGATGTCAACTACGTCGGTCCTGAGGACATTCCTCCTATCCTCAGACATCAGGCCAAACCCTGCAGCTCCAACTTCTCATACAGACCAAAGGAGCGCCTGTTCAGAGAAAGACCGAGTGCTGAATGGCTGCATGGACTGAGTCCAGAGGCATGGAGAATATGTAAAATCTTTTCAAAATCTACCACAGAGCATCTTCCAAGCACTTTAGTTAGGCAGGCAAGGATTGCATTAGTGGCTCTGTTGGAAAATAAGGAATCTGTATTTGCAGATCTAGACTGCAATTATTTTTATTCTGCCGTCTAACTTAACCACTTTAGTTTAATTTTTCCCCTTCAGAGGCTAATCAAAAGCAGTGCCTGAATGCTTAAGAAAGAATGAATAATATACACAGCACAATGTCTAATTTTTGGCTGCAAGAGCAATTTTTAAGCCATACTCTGTTCATCTTAATTAATTAAAACCCGTTGACTTTGTTCGTTCTCTGAACAAAGCAGGGCAAGTTGAGGCAGCTGCTGACCAAAGTGGCATGTGTAAGTCCCATGCCAGATCTCACCACAATATCCTGCTGTATTTCTGGATGTACAGACAGGCAGATAGTGGGAGATCAAAAATCACAACATGTTCTCTAATAATCCTGTCCTCACTCCCTCTGTGTTAACAAGTCGTGCAAGTGTGCGAATAGGCACAACTACAAGGAAGAGAATGGATGACAGTTTTAGTTTTGCTTTTTTAGACATTATAACAGATTGCTTGTTATGGAAGAAGAATGTGTGTCATATGTAGCTCCCTTTTAAGGGCAAACAGACACCAAAAGGTTCCTGAAGGGATGCACTTGTGTTTGTAACAGTGCCTGGAAGCCCTCCAACGCCAGAGATTTGGGGCCCTGCTAAGCAATGAGTAAAGCCAAAGTACTGCAAAGTGAAAACAACCTTACTCTGACAGCTAGCTCCAATCTAACAAGCAACAGGACAGAGAAAGCCTTCCACATTAATGATATCCAGTGTTAATTATGATGGTTCTGAACAAATTGGCAGCTGCTGAGCCAGGTTGCTGAACTCAGCAGTTGACATATTTTATATGACAAGCTACACTAGAAACTAAAACAATACAAACTTTTCAAGGCTGCTGCCTTTAAGTTCACTTCCTGAGTTCTGTGCTTAATGGGATTTGCTTCACACAACTTTCTTGCCAATAAACCTCATTAGCTGGCAGATGGAGAGAAAGAAAACAACACTGTTTTCTGTTAATTGCTGGAGGATAAACATAAGGTCTAGAGGTAGGTGAGACATATTGTTCTAGTGCTGGAAATCATTCACCCCAACCAGGTTCTTCCTAGGAAAACCAGACAGGATTCACTGACAGAAACGGTCTCGCTCCCACTACCACCAATCCTACCACAAGTACAACCAATTTACTGCACCTTCTCTTTCCTCTGTTTTGATTGGCACTGCAGATTGGGTTACAAAGTCTTCTGTTAACAGCTGATCTGTTTTATTCAACAGCCTCTGTAAGTGTGTGGAAGGCACGGTGCTACCACAGCACAAACACTGCCAGGCTCCTCTCCATTTTTCTCATCTTGTTCTTACCATATTTGCCAGCACACAGCCATCCAGTAATTGCTATGGTGATGTGAAGCTGCCTTCCTTCAGTAAGTGGGAGGAATTCAAACTCTTCTATGGCTCCCACACGTTTCTTCATCTTGTATCCTACACACAAGGCAGAAACAAGGATCTCAGAAATCGCACAAGAACAGACACTGTTAACAACAGAAATTCATAAGAGATGACTTGGCTCATGACTAAGGTTCTCTCTTTCCAAGACCCTCAGCAGATCTATGTATTACTTGGTATGGAGCCAACATGATCCCTCTGAGCTCTCATGATCTGTGGGTATCTCAGCTAAAGGCTGCTTTGCAGAAAATCCTGCATCAGGTGTAACAGCTACTGCTCTCTGTTGCTGCACCTTTCTAATCCAAAGCAGGAAGCTTTCATCTCTTTTACTCAGCCACATATCAAACACTATTTTCCTAGTTAGTCATCAAGCATGTCTTGAAATAAAAGCCATCTCAAAGTTGTGAGATCATACTTCCAATCACTTTCCTTGCTCTGCAGGGCTCGGTCATGCTCTGCATTTTGGAACACGATCCTGTACCTCAGTGCTTGTGAAATGTGCAGTCACTCTCTTACCAGTAAGGCCGGCTCCAGCAGCTCCAAAAAGGGAGGCCATGACAGCAATTCCTGCAGTTGAACCAAGAGCAGCTGCTCCTGCACTTCCAATGATAGTAGCAGCCCCAGCAGCAACCAGGGGGGCAGCAAGACCTCCTGTCAAGCCTGAGAAGGCAACAAGTGAGTTCAACAGTCATTTCCCTGTGCTGGGTGGGTACTGTTAATGCTATTGAAAAAGTGACCTGTTTTGCATCCCTGGTAAAGGGGCTCTTAAGATCATCCCCAGGCCCTGAATCTCTGCACGCATTCTTTGACTTCAGTAAAAATAAAGAATAACTTAAGTCGAGGAAGAATATGTGATAGATTGTGCCCCAGGCAAACATCATCCAAATTCTTCAGTCTCTCTCCAGTATCTTTAAACTGACTTTCCAGCATGCACTGCTCCATGCAATGCTCCAACAAACCCAATGGACTTTCACTTTTACAACTAATTCTTTCGGTTCTACTTTTGCACAGCAGATCCTGAAGTGACATACTACCTTTAGCCTGGCAAAAAGAAGGAAAAAAACAACACAGTGAACACTTTAAAATCACAGCCCGGCTTCTGCTGCTGAATGTGCAAGTCAGAACCCCACTTTCTCCCCCTTGCACTTCAGGACCAAGGTTTTGACAGCCCAAGGCAGCCTCACCGATCACTGTTCCACCCCCAACGGTTGCCAAGCCGATCAGCAGGTATCTCTTCAGCTTCCTTCTTCTTTCCTTCTTTTTTCTTGAGACTTCTGCAGTTCTGCAGGGGGATTAAAAGCATAAAAGCTGATGGCAAAGCCTGGCAGATAACAATGCTGCACCACAATCTGCTTATATCCTCCTCAGTGTAATTTCCCTACTGGGAACAGTAAAAAGTACCATGCAGGTGTGGACCGTGACAACACATTCAGATTTATGAGCATGGACATAAGCCACAGATTTAAACTGGAACAATTTAATTGCTTGGAAAAGCCAACAGATGTTACTTACTTTGAAAACGCTTCCTAACAGGGGTGAAGCTTGTCAAAAAAAAAAAAGAAGCAAAGTCAGAAACATTTCAGTAGCTATATACTGCCTATGTGGCTTACAGAAAATCTATTGCAGTTTTTATAAGATGAAAACCATTTCTGCATTATGCAGTCAATTCTGCGTGTCTAATGGAAAAGAATTGGCTCTACATTTGTGATGTACTGGCAGACTGCATGGGAGACTCTCACCTCTAGGCTGCAGAACAACTGCCAGCCTAATTTGGCCCATTATTACTAGCTATTTGTTGTGAGATGCTCTGAAGTCAGGTTGCAGGGAGGAATCCAAGCAGAAGGCAAACAGTGAAAGCTGATGGGTACACAGCTCAGGACCTCAGCCTTCAGGGAAAGAGAAAGAACTGACAAAAAGAACCATCTACTGATACCAGATAGGGAAGGCTGATACTGCACCCTCCAGGTCCTCTCTGACACAGTTCAATTTCTAAGTATTCAGGGATGCAGAATGGACATTTCATCTGATCCCACACAAATTACTACAATAAAGATGTTAACTTTTCTGATCATTGCACCCTACAGCTTGCAGTACTCTGCCTAGTTCCAGCAGGAGCTGTGCTCCTCCTGAAGCAAACCATTCTCACACTAATATTCACCACACCAAGCCCCATCCATGCTGCACCCTCTGTAGCACATGGGGGAGAAGGAGTCTTAACCTTGGAGACAAACAGCAGAGATGCTGAGATGGGTTAGCTCAGATCAAACATCACCAGGGTGAGCTGCAGAGCAGACACAAGGCAGTTTCCATAGAATCATTAAGGTTGGTTTCCCATTCCTCTGTCATTAGAAGTCCATAGCTGTGTGATGGTGCGAGGGGAACTGCTTGATGTTCATTAAAAGTAAACCCTGAGTGCAGACAGGACTTTGAGCAGCGTCTGTGATACCATCAGACAGGAAGATAACTGCCACAGCTGTCAATTTGCATCTCAGTTTTTAGGGCAGATCAGTTCCCTGAGGCTGTGAGCATATCAGCACAGGGCTGGATGTGAGGACATCAGGTTAAATCATGGCTGTGTCATGTAAATGCTACACAGCATTGTGTAAATCTTTGGAACAGATCAGATATTCCTAAGTGAAAGCAACCCTGCACATGTAAACAATGTCTGCTGTAGTCAGCTGTGTAATTATAAGTGTTTCTAATGGTGCAGTTCTATGCTGCTTTCTGTTTTGGCTTCAGCAACAGAGCATCAAGAAAACCACCTAAAATGCACCGTGACTTTTACTCCCTTCTATTATACACCAGACTTGTTTTAAAGACCTGATTACAGAGAAAGCGCAATTCAACTCAGGAACTGATTTTGACCCAGTGACCTCATCCAGCCATGCCAAATGCTACTTGATGGTACTCATTAAGGTGAATGGTATTAATTAAGATGAATGATCCTTAGCAGTGACCACTGGCCACCAGACCCGTGAGCTGCTGTATCAGACCTGAAAACCAAAGGCCACATCTCCTTCCACTGCTCATAAACAAACTGAATTATGTTACTATTACAAAAATCAGAATTTGGTCCTGAATTCCCCCACAAGCACATCAGAAGACATTAAAAAAATAAAAAACTTTTAGGAACAAGAAATAAAGTTAAACGGGGTTAAAACCACAAGAAAACTAAGTAGAAGCAGAAGCAGAGAATAAGGGTAACTTGTGCTAGCTAACAGTGAGATGGAATCAAACTATTTTCCAATAGCAGACTTTATATTTAGCTGCTCTCTAATTATACCTCACAATATAATAACAGTATTAAACATAGTTGTAAGTTCATTTGTCTCTGTACATTTAAGCTGTACTTTAACAAGCTTACCCAAAACAGGCAAATCAACTGAAAAAGAAAAAATGTCACTTTTTAGGCACCAATTTTGGTTTATCTCCACTGTCTTTGGTTTACCTCTCACAAGAAGTACTTTCCATTTCAGAGGAAAGTGAGAGAAACAGGATGGTGAAGTTGTTCACAGAGTTTCCTTCTGACCTGCCTGTTCAGTGGTTAATCTGGGCCTTGAAACATGAGAATTTATCTTACTTCCAAACTTGGATATTTTCCCTCTTCATCCTATCCTAATAGTGGATTTTCATTACCCATATAATTGCCTAATCCTTCCTGGAACCCTCGAAGCGCTCTGTAATTTTGATAAAGACAATTTTAGATGAGTCCCAAACAATACACAGCATTGTACAGCACAGCAGGAGGAAAATGAAGCACAGTGGGTGAAATCCCTGCTTCGTTGAAGTCAATGGCAGAACTCCCACTGACTTGCATGGCACAGGGATTTCATCTCCACAGTGATCCTCCAAGAAAACCACTGCACATTACCTCTGTTTGCACATTCCCCAGTTCCAAATGTAGCTGTCTGGAGAACTGCAGCCTGCATGGCAACATCTTTAGCACCACAGAAGCTCACCTTCTACGACTCCATGGTCAAACTGGAGTTTGGGTCATTGCTCTCTGTATGTAACTGCTAGAATTGCTGGTGATGGTTGCTTTCCTTACAGCTTCTACATCACAGCTGTCCCTTGGTTACCTGACTGCCTTTTTCCACTATGGCAACTAACTGCCTCTTCTCAGCGATCTTGGATTTGCTGCTGATCACATGTGGAGAAATGTTATAGGTGATGTTATAGATCATTTTCCAGCGATGAAAAGTAGCATGAATACATGTTAGCAAACAACTGATGTCATATTTTCCAGTTTCTCATAGAGCTGCCTACAAAAGAGAAGTTTATACCTGCAAATCAGAACATGCTTGGCACAAGTAATGTGGATTTAAACGTTTGGAGCACTGTTTTATAGATAACCACACTGAACATTTAATTTGGCACATGCTGGGCCACAGGACGTGTCCACAGGAGCAAAGGCAAGAGCAGAACTTCCCATTACAAGTATCAGTAAATAATGCATAAGCAGAAGCTGCCAAAAATCCACTTGGTTGTTCCTATTCTTGCAGTGGATGGGCAGAGCTGGAAAGATCCAAAGCAGATCCTAAGACTGTGTTCCCTGCCCCCAGAAATCTGTGAGGTCAAAGCAGCAGCGAGATCACATTCTGCTTCATTTCCCAGTTGAGTTCTGACTCTAAAACAAAGAGTCATTAATTCCCCACAAGCCTCAGCTCTGTGCTAGTTTTAGTGCTGTAGTAACCAATGTATTGACTCTGCAGCTGTGAACTGCTCTTATTGTGGAGATTTTCTTCTTTTGTCTAACAGTTATTTCCGTGGCTGCAATTTGGGCCTCTAAGGAAAGAACAAGAGTGAAATCAATGGCTTTAGTCGCACCAGTACCTGGTAATGTGTAATGTGTACCATCACAACCCCTAGGCAGCACACTTCTGCAGTCACTCCTGCCACTATCAGACATCTTTTGGGGCTGCACTACAGCCCACTTCAGCAGCCACAGTTCAGAGGGAAGAGAATTATGTATCAAGGCACCATCTGTGTAAGCGAGGCTCCACTCTTTATGTGTCCTGTTCCACGCCAGAGGCTCAAGACTGAGTTTATTTTCATAAGCCACAGCAAAACAGTGCCCATCAGAACCAACCCTTGCTCCTGCATTACAGATGGTGCTCCCTTTAGCAGCACAGGATCCTTGAGATTATTTTGACTTTCCCTTTTTACAGTGCACTATGAAGTTACACTTCATTTAAATAGTCATAATTGAAAGGTACCTGTCACCTGCTGCACCCCAGCAAAATGTCTGAGCATGTTCTGCGTCAGAGACATTGATTAAAGTAGGTTTTGGCCCTCAGGCTAACCTTGTAACATTTTGTGCTGAACTGGCACCAAAATATTAAACAGTTCCTTGAAAGTCTCCTATGGACAGGTTTACTGCCTCACACACTGCTAAACCTTCACACAGTTCCAGGCTCATAAGCAAAGGACTGTGTTTCGTAGAGACGCCAACTGTTTGGCAGTTCTGAATATAACAACTTGCAGTTCAGAGGCTTCATCTTACATTAACAGCAGAGAAGTCAAGTGATCACCAGTCCATAGATACATAAAGATGCCAGTGGTTGCCCTCAAAGGTCTGCCTTCAGGAGTTAGCTGACTCTTCAGGCAGAGTGGGCGGATCTGTAGAAAATTAACAACTGAGGATTTAATCCTGAAATTTTACAAGAACTTCATTCTGCAAGAGGCATTACTGCAGAGGTGTGAGTTTGGCCTGTAAGAAATAGCCTGGCTTTAGCCTTGATATATTCACATTGACCCATCCCCTTCTGTAAAGCAGAGTAAGGGAAATAATCAAAACACTGCCGGGTCAGCAAGCATCTGGCCTGTTTGCTTTTCAGAGTCATGGTTTCTCCAGAGGGAACAATTCCTCTGTAAATCTATTTGTTTCTATCTGAAGAGCGTTAGACCAAGAGATACAGATCTTTCTGGTGCACTTAAATATTATCTACAGTCTAGGAGACAAAATAGGAACAAGGAGATGAAGGAGTTTGGTGCGTGCATTTGCCAGCTTGCAAGGTTGGGCTGCAGCTCTGACTTTACAAATGCTGAATACAAACTCTCAGTGCAGCTGAAGTGCTTTGAGGGCCCTGCAACTCTCATCAAGCCATAAATGACTGAGTTAAAAGCCACAGGGAGAATGAGCAGAGCCTGGACTTAAGCAGAATAACTGATGCTAAACTTTCAACCAGCAGCAGTGCTTCTTCATCCCTTAGCCAAGCCAAGTATTCTTACTCTGACTCTTCCTCTGTTTGTTCCTTCAGGCTTTCAAGCAGAGATTCCTCCATGGCTTCCAGCTCCTCCAAGGGGATTCTCAGCAGCCAGCTGACGTGGCAGATCAACACCCTCACTCGTGCATCATAGTACCCTTAAACACAGGAAAGCCCAGGAAATCCATCAGTCTTCATCACACCACATTAAATAATAAGTGGAGAAACCCAGCTGCACTAGAGGACCATGCTGCACAAAAGCATATTCCTTCCCTCAGGCCCTCTTCATCTTTCACGTGTTTGAAGACAATTGTTACTGTCTAAAGAAGAGAGCTCTAAAAGGAAAACCCTCCCCAGTGCAAACCTCATCCTGTCAGCAGAGCCACTGCACCAGGTAACTGCCTATAAGGCAGGAAAAGATCTCAAATCTTTAGGTTTTCACTGTCTTTGATAGAGGACAAGGAGCAGAGGAGTGGGCGACCTCACACAACCTGCAGCAGGAGAAAGGACTACTCCCGGGCGTACAAACAAGTGTTGTTAGAAAAATAATCATAATCATTTAGATATAGCAGATTTCAAAACGATTGGTGCCAACTCTTTTTTTTTTTTTTTTAATGTGTTTCTCTCAGTAGCATCTGCTGTTTGCTGATAGCAGGCTTTTATAAAGGCCTCTCGGTGCACTCTGTGATGAAAAGCACAAGAGTTTCTCTAGGGTTGCATAAAGATACCAGCAAGACACAACTACAAAGTATGGTTCTGATATGTGCTGCACGTAGGCCAAATATGGCCATTGGCAATCTGTTCAGTTTATTTATTTATTACCATCATTACCAAGATACTAAGCTGCTTCAGTAGGCTTTAATGAGTTCACTTTTAAAATCTGTGCTTAGTAGGGAAATAAGGTTAATACTTATCCTCCTTTCATCCCTGATATGTAGCACAACATGCAAACCCAAGCAGGATTCTTAACAGTAGCCTTCCTGCCTCCTGCCTGCAATGCACAGCTTAGCTTCTCACTTAGCCAGCTTGGCAATAAGTCACCAAGGCTTGAAAATACATTTGTTTTAAATTCCAGCTTAGCGAAACAGGCAGTTTTGCAATAACTGAATAGTTGATTTTCCATTAAAAATACAACAGGAACAAAAGTGGTATTTGTTCTCAAGTGAAATAGGCTAATCAGCAGCCAGGGAGCTCTTTCCTGTGTGAACATGCTACAGCACGGGGCTTTTAAAATAGGCAAGCTGCAATATAAAACAGGCTTCTTGTAAAAATGAACATTTTGTGCAGTAGGCAGTCTGTGGCATGAAATGTATCAGATTAATCAATGCTACACATTGTAAGCCGGAAGTTACGTGAATCACGTTTATTCACACCAGAATTTACTCCCTGAATATGTATTTGTTTTCCTCTTAGGCAACGAGTGATCTGCAGAGGGTTTTAGGGTTGAAATTTTCATAACAGCTCTGTGGCTTTCCAAAAGGAAGGAGAGGTCACCTGCACCCCTGGAAACACTGGAGGAGAAAAACATTCCAGTCTAGGTATTCAACTTCAGAGCTTTTCAATCATTACACACAATTGCATGCCAGTACATGTGAAGCTACAGAGGTGACCAGTTGCTGAGTTTTTAACAGGTAGTATCAGTTGTCTTCCCTGTAGTGACCACAGGGGAAGAGCACGCTGCTTTTGTTATAAAGGAATGTAGGATAAAATCGATGGGCACCCTGAGCTCTCTGAGCATTTTGAAGTATCCGATATGAACTCACTGATGTTAGCCTTACAAAGAACAAACTCTAAAGTAAACTTACCATCTCTGAGAGAGAAGGACAAAAGATCCTAAAAAGAAGGAAAAAAAAAGAATATTGAAGTTAACACCTAGAGGTCTTCAAATGGAAGTATGAAATCCCATCACACCACTGTTTCATGGCTGCAGAGCGTCTATTCTGCCTGTGGGAAGGCAGGAAGCTACAAATCAACAAAGCAAAGCCAGATGCTTCCAGTGCACAATTATGCATTTGCAGGTACAAATGGCTGGACAGAAGCAGATAAGCACAGGATGGGAGAGTAGTGCCTGCTTGGTATGTGCTGAAGCAGCTGATTGTTGGGCTGTTGTTATTAGCAATCCTGTTGCAATTGAACGCCCTGTGAGTACACAGGACTTCAAAGCCTGGAGAAATCAGGCTGCAAGCTCCCAGCTGCACTGATGCCTTCTGCTCTTCTAGTCACACCAACTCGAACTTTCAGCTCCAATAGGTTTGAATGTCACTTAGATGGACCAGCTGCCCCTATTTCCTGGAATTCCCCTACTCTTGGAATTCATAGCTCTAGGGAGTAGGGCTGAACTGGCATGAAGTTCTTATGGATTAAGTACTCAAAAATAGAAATCACAAGATTTTTAGCTGTCTGTAAAGATCGAGGGGCTACGTTGGCTTTCCATCAGAAAAAATAAATAGGAAAAACAGATCAATTCAATGTAAGGCTTCCATGGACAAATCCATGAAAAAGGTCAGTGCTCCTCAGATGAGAAATTCTGATGTTTTACTGCTGTGTTCACAGAATCACAGAATTGTAGGGGTTGGAAGGGACCTCCAGAGATCATCGAGTCCAACCCCCCTGCCAAAGCAGGTTCCCTACAGCAGGTCACACAGGTTCTCTTCTTTTATTGTCACTGAATAACAATAACAATAAATTCTAAGCTCTTTATGTAACTAAAAGAGTAAGCACTAGCTCAGTCTAGCTAGTTCCTCTCCTCCAAGCCTAAAGCACAGCTGAATTTTATAGGGAATCCTTTGACCCCTTGAGAACATGAAAAATACATTCAAAGACACAGGATGCTGCCAAAGAGTTTATGTTTATTAGACCCATAAGCAACATTTGGATTGTAAAAATGTCTCTAATCTGCTGCACAAGAAGCACAGAGAACAAGATATCTTTAACCCAGTCCTTGAAGAGGGGCAGACTGTAGACACTGAGTCAAGTATCAGTACCTGTACTCTGAATAGCAGTTTAACCTAAGGAGAGTCAACTATCTCATACAGGAGAAAAGCTTTTCCATAGCACGAGGGAAACCACAGGGTCAGTGCAGCTGAATGTATGTGGCAGAATCTATGCTTTTTTACAAGGTAGGACTCCAAAACCTTTGCTCTGCTGCTGCCTAACATTTACATATGAGTTTTCCACAGATACACTGCTCAGGTGCACAACAACTCAGGTGCTCTGCTGCTAAACATTTATGTGGCTCTGCCCATCCTTTGCCTGCCTGCCCTGCAAGATCCAACAGGATAAATGCTTCCTCAAGATTCTGCTGATCTGGGCTCTGCACAACACAGCATTCCTCCTGCATCCCAGTGGCCAGGGGAAAAGGAGAGGGCTGGTTTGCTATCTCTAGTGTAACTGTTGTCATTGTGAATCAGAACTCTTGTGTTCTGAAAGCCACCACAATGTAGGGGAAAAAAAAAAAAGGAGGCTTCTTTTTAGCTCCAGGCACAGTCAGCATTCTGTGCAGAATGCAGACAGTTCCCCAGGCAGGTTGGCAAGGGGTGGGAAATGGAACCGTAAATCCCCCAGGCAGAGAGAGGAATGGAACTTGGGTTTTGCAGTCCCCAGGCACTGCAACTGCTGCCGTGCAGCCCATCTGGCTTCAGGGCTGCCAGGAGGGGCTGGCACAGAGGTGACAAAGCCCAGCAGAAAGCCCAAGGCTGTGAGGCCTAAGCAGAAAGCTGATCAAGAGTGGAACCTCAAGTCTGGAGTTAGGTGAAGCTTTTGACCTTGCTGCTGTCATTTGCTAATGCAGGCAGCCTCCTGAGCAGGGCTGCCGTGCTGCACAGAGCCAGTTCAGAGGCAATAAATGCTGCCTGGGTCTTGTGAAGGAGCCATAGGTCATGGCTCAGCTCCTACACGATTTATCCAGTAGGCTCAGCGGCACCCAACATCAAATAACTTCTTTCAAAAATCTGGCCTAAGCATTTAGACACGTGTAGTTCAAAAGGTGAGAGATGGATTCGGGTAATCAGGTGACAAACTGGAACAACTGATTGCATTTGTGACCATTAGCATACTCAAGTATTTCTCAGTGCTTCAGGCTTTGCACGTACTACCATGCAGTCACCTGGAGTCCAATCAGCATTGATTAGATTAGTTCACAACTTGTTTGTTTCCTCTCTCTATGCAGCAGCTATTGAGGTTTGGTCATTTTGAAGTGGAGGTGTTTTTAATTTTAATTGTGCTCAGGACCACCATGCACAATTGAGTGAAACCTCACAAAAGAAAGGAAAGCAATCTTTATTACAACTCTTTGCCAGTATTTTATTAATTGCTACAAGTCCAAAATCTATTTCCTCACAGAGGGTTTCACATTGCAATGCCACTGCGTGTGGGAGGGAAATAACAATAAGGAATACACAGGAAAATGGGCATTCTAAGTCTGCTCAAAGCAAGAAGAAAAAAGACTCATTAAGAATTTTGTTTTCTCATCCACTGTCAGGAAACAAAAGTGAGCAAAGTCAACTTCTTCCCCTCCTTTCGCTGTCACTAAATGCAAATAATAAATAAATTGATTCCTATCCAGACAAGAATCACTGCTTTCTCATACCACACCCACAGCTATTTGTTATGACTGCTGTCAAAAAGACAGCGTTTGCATGTATTCATCACCTGCAATAAATTCAAATGAAGGCATAAATCCACGATCCTCAAATTCTCACTGAATCAGTGGTGAGCTCACCTCCTGATCTGTGCATCATCCCTTGGTACAGGGCATTCAAAAATACAAGCATTAGAGCCACCAGGACCCTGCCACTGAACACAGTGAGCACTGAAGCGCGTTCCTGGAATAAACATTTACTGTTAAACAAAGAAACAGTAGTGCCATAAAGCAACAGATGGAGAACTGACAAAGTTTGATCCTGTGGCTTATTTTCAGGTAATAAGGAAAAAGTTTATCTCAGCTTATCTCAGCCTGGTACCTTGAAGCTTCCCATATGCCGGAATGCTTTCCCACCAACATCCTGCAAGCCTCTCATGCTTTGCCCTGCAGCAACCTTTAATTATATGCCTCATTTGACAACACCAATCACCTCACAGGACTGCATGAGGTCCAACTGTTGAGGCATTAGGCTGATAGCTATTGCTGATCTTTGCTTTCATTTAATCAAAGAACCGTTATCAAAGGCTTCTGTGCTCCACTAGGAACCATGGCAAGTGCCTCCGTTCTCATAACAAAATATTGCACAATCCCAGAGGCTGTGATCTCTGAGGATCCAGAGACTGTTTTGTAAAAGCACATGGAGACCTAACACAACATAAACTTGGAGCAAGCACAAGTTACGTTTTGCCAAAATTTCACTCTTATTAAATGCAGCAGCCTAATTCTAGAGAACTCATCCTGGAGTAGACAGAGCTAGGGAAACAAGCCTGGGAAATGCTGGGTCATCTCAACACAGAAAGAACTGAACGTACACTTACTGCTTCTGAGCAAACACAATAATTTTAAAAAAATAAATAAATCAAAACAGCTGCTCTTATTTCAGATCTGCCCCAACTTACTAATTAAGCTGATTAAGCTCATTAATCTCTGTCACTGCAGTGAGGTTGCTATAATATTTTGAGCATTATAACATAGTGATGTTTGCATCAAATCTTCTGATCCCTTTTATGGACCAGCTAGGAGACACAAAAGACAAAGATAAAGGGAATTCATCACGACCAAGAAAGAACAATTCCATCATCTCTTTACCTATGCAGCCTTGTTCATGTTCACGTATGTAGAAATGTTTTGTATTAGAGGAGAAGGAACATTAAACCCTGTAAAACTACTGGCCCTCTACACACCTCCTCATATACACACATTTTCCTGCTCCTCCAAAATCCCCCTTGCTCACAGTAAGAGGGAATGAAAAATAGGGCTTCTCAAGTTCAGTGTTTCACCAAAATCTGCAGAATGCCCATGTGTGTAAAAAAGATTGCAGCAATACAGTCAAAGCTTTGACAGTTCTCTCTAAGGCAAAGGCACCAAAGACAGGAAATGTTAATTCAGCAGTAACTGCATCTCATGCTCATCACTTCCATGTGCTGTGAATGGATAGATTGCTGAGCACCCACAGAGCTGCACAGAAGAAAATGCATATCAGGATTCTGATTTACTTCCCTAACTGCACAAACAGAACTGGACACAAACAGGCAAGTATAACAGATCTTTTTTTGTAAAACCAAACAGAACTGAGGGGAACGTAGGAACTTACCTGGGTAATGACAACAGGATTATCTTTGACGGTGGGATCCTTCAGCAAAAGCTGGGCAAAAGTTTCTGTGCCCTCACCTCCTAAGCCACTAGCAAACGCTGTCATGGCAGGCAAGACAGCATCAGGCAGGTCCAGCCATTTCACCAAGCCCTCAATGAACTCTGTCCTGAAGGAGCTGTAAGGCAACAGAGACAGATGAGGCCTTGTAACAGAGTATTTTTGCAAGCCTTGAGTGGTCCCTGCTTCCCTGGGATGCTTCAGTCTTTCTTTATTTTTTAAACCCAATCCATCCCATTTGCAACACTGACTCTGACACCACTTCGGTGTGAGCTGCTCCAAAAGCCACCTCCTGTGCTCATTCCCTGTGCCCACATTTAGTACCTTTGTTCTTTTTCAGGGAACAGCCATGCCAGGGATACCCCACAGAGTGCTGCATAAGTGAACTTTCCTGGTTCACCCAGCTGCTGGCTCAGTAGCACACATGATTCCCTGTCTTCTGCTTGTTCAGCCCCACTACTCTGCTTCGAAGCCGAACTTTTCCACTTCTCTTCTGCAGCCATTTTTACCTGCAAGTTCAAAGAAGAAAAAGCAGAAGGGAAAAAAATAACAACTGGAAACCAGAAATCGAGGAAACAAATTACCTTTGCTTTTTCACTGCCACACTTGCTGGTCTGCAGCAATGCAGGTCTGTCAAAGCCCAACTTGTGTATCTCATTGCAACGCAATTCCGTTACCACAGACAATAGGAGGCTTTCTGTTCACCAGTTCTTAGTTCTTTTGCACCAAATCAACAACGCTTCTCAAAAGGAGAAGTCTACTTCAAGATGAAAAGAGACTGGGCTCCATTCAGGCATATTATTCACATATTTAGTGGAAAAAGAGATGGAAAAATAAAAGCTCTGCACCTGGCACAGGGACCAGTATGGCAGCCTGGGAAATAATTTGTTTCTTTCATCCCCAACCCAAATTGCTCCTCTGTTCATTTTGCTGACAGTGTTAAGAAAGTTGAGTCCAGCTGCAGCCTCTGATTAGGACTGTTAATGAAACCACTTATTTCCCAAGCCATTGCTATGCTTTGTTTATAGTCTAATCTTACCTATACAACCTACCACTACATTTCCCTAAACGTAACATTCCCATGCTACCTGGAACTTAGGCTGGGCCAAATATTATTTTCAGAGCACCAAAATGTAAGCAGCTTGTGATCACACACTTCCAAATGAACTGCTCCAAAGGGCTCCTGGGAGCCTCACTGAGTATACAGGGAGTTTTGGCTGCTAATCCAAGCAGCTAGCAGAGAGGACAGAAATCAGGCAGAGGTGACAGCAGCACATTTCACAACTGAACGTCAGTAAGTCTGCTTCAAAGCTCACTTACATCACCTGAAAGTTCTACTGACTACATCAAGACGCAATCCATTTCCAAAGGCATATCACAAATAGCAAGCACAAAATGGTTTGCCATTTGGATACTTTCCTCTGAACCCTGCTGATAGGAACTGGAGACAACCTGCTGTAACAGCATTAACCAAGCACTCAACCTCAGAAGATTCAGATACCACTTACGGGGTAGCTTAGAATTCCAGAAGAAAGAAGTGCAGCAGAGGAGCAGCTCTTTGTAGAGACTGTATTATCTCCATGCTATCTGTCATGATGTTCCAGGTAAGCTGTCTGTCTTGCTGTCTCACTCAGAAATGTATTTGAAGGTATTCATATTCCTCAAGGCTTGCACTATGTAACTGCTGGTGTATAAACCAACACACATTCATCACTGAAAGGCTGGGGACTGCTGCAATGCCTGTCCCCAGGAGAGCTCAGCTTCCCCGCAGCAAGCATCTCCTGATGCTGCCTCTGGTCTGAGCACACAGGTCTAAGGAACCTCAGCACGTTTCCATGGAAACATCACATTCCAGCAACACGGGAGCACAAAGTCCTCAGGAATAAATAAACGCTGTTCTTTCTGTTCCAGTCAGAGGAAGGGAGGGCCAGGTGACGCTCCACCAGGGATCAGTGCTGGTCCAGGTGGCACTGTACCTCCCCTCAGCACACAGCACCACGCCTGGGGCTTCGGCTCTGAAGGCACAGTGAGATGTCTCCATGCTTCCCAGGATTTCACCCCCTGCCAAAATCCCAAGACTTTTTACTACCTCAGCAGCTCCAAAGCCCTCACGTGGGTGACCAAACTCCATTTCACACCACTCCCTGAGCTCTGATCTTCCTAAAGCATCCAGAGCCTGACTCAACACGACCGCCTGGAAATTATGGAACACAGTCACAATAACTTCATGCAAAATAACCTGGCATGTCCACTCACCTCTGAACACAGATGTATTAAGTTATTATGGGAAGCAGCATTGGAAATAAACAGTGATTTGTGATGCTGAGTGTTTAGAAGGGCAGCTTCGCTTGGCCCTTTTCTGTCACCTCTTCAGTCGAGGAGAGCTGTGAGCAGTACACAGATATCAATTTCTTCATAAATATCTAAGGAAAACAGGAAAAAAAGGGAAAATGTGCTGAGGTTGTAAGCTGCTGGCACTGAACTCAGGACTACAACGTGATTCAGAAACCTATAGCACTGCCATCATCTGAAATGCCACTTGAAAGCGATTTTTTTTTTTTTAATATCATTTGCAGCACTTGTTTCTCACACTTTTTGCTTTCTTGAGATGCGGTTTCTTGCAATTCTATTGGGAAAGGAGGAATCCTAAAAGGACCCAGAGCTGCGGAGAGGCAAAGAGAAACGCTGAGCGGGAAAACGCGCTGAGGGGACAGCAGCCATCCGTGAGGAGAAGCGCAGCCCGCGGACACCGCCACAGTGCCCTCAAGGAACAGCCTGAAGCGGGGTGTCCGCCCTCCCCACCCCTCAGCCCGGTCCCAGCCCCTCTCGCCGCCCGGGTCCGACCTGCTGCCGGCCCGGAGCGCTGCGTTCCCTTCCGCCGCTGCCCCCCACCCCTTCCGCCCGTCCCGTCTGTGCCCGTCGCCCTTACGCAGGTTCCGTACGGATAGCGCCGGGCGACCCTCTGCTCTCCTTACGCCGATAGCGTAGCAGGGAGCGCAGCTTACGAAGGGCGGGAAGGAAGCGCGCTGCGCTGAGGCGGCATCTCACGTGAGGTGATGGCGGGCACCGGGCTGAGGCGATGGCTCACCTGCGCTGTTGGCCGGCCCCCTGGGGATGGGGAGGAAGCAGCAAGGCCAGCTGCTGCTTGATTCTTTAAATCAGTCGATCAGGAAAGTCTCTAAGACTCGAGTTGGAGTGTTAGAAAGCAGGCATTCTTTAAAGCAGCGCTGGATGCGTGGGGGTCGTCCTCCTATAATGCATAGCCTGCACAACGGGTCTTCAGCTTATCTACATTACTCGTGTTGCGTATGCAGGAGTTTCCCAGGTGTATGTTACAAATGCAGTAATCAAATCCAAGGAGGACCTCCTATTTCCCTGATACGCTCAGCAGAACTTCCTTATCTCCTCAGCCCAGAGACACAGCTCTGTTACCTAAACAAACTGCAGCGCGATCAGCAAACACCAGCATCCATAACCCAGAGTTATGGGTGCAATCAGCTTGGCTCTGCTCAGCTCTGGTTAATTGGCCTTGTCAAAATCCTAGGGCTGTGCTAAGGCTGTGGAGTTAATTCAGCTCCCTGAATTGCACTGCATTGGTTTCATGGGTTTTGGTCAGTGTTTTTGCTCCAGTGGTGGCACGGAGCAAGCACAGTGCTTGGTGATCCGTGGCAAAATTTGCCTTTTCAGGAGGAAGGAAGCAGCTTTGCTGGACGTTTTGTGAAAGTGAACCTAGTTTGGGCTGCTCAGTAACTGGTGTATACATAAAAATCCGCTACTTGAGTCTTCTAAAATAAAATATCTGAAATATGTTCTGTTGAAAAGCCAAATTTGATTTGTCCAAACGTCCTGCTTGCTTGCTACTAACATCACACCTTCAGGTTTGCTCTCACAAGTGCTCCTTATCCATATCACCCTTTTGGTTTTTGGGCATCATCATGAACTTCAATGTGACGAGAGGCTCAGAAGGCCCCATGATCCCAGCTGGGGTGCAAAAACCGACCCAGGTAACCACAGTGGACATCTGCACATGGTTCACAACAAGCAGAAAGCCATCTGGACACAAATCTGTGTTCTCAGACCCAAATCTGCAGATTTGTTTTCTTTGTTCGAGGATTGAAAGTTCTCCTGTAGTTAAAAGCAATTTAGAACGTGGGCCAGGGTTCTGTCTATACAATCCACGATACTTTATTGGGTCTCATCATGCTCTTAATGTCTCCATGGCGTTCCGTCCTTACAAAACACAGTTCTGGGGTATTTGTGCAGGATGTCAGCCACCACCTTGGCCCATTTCTCACCATGCACTATTTCCATGCTATGTCATTTAATCACTATGTGAAATCAGGACCCACCCAGCTACTGTAAGCAAGGCAGGGTAATTTGGAACTGCAACTCGATTGCCATTCAGATTGGTATGAAGGAGAACTACATACAAACAAATCCTTTTATGTTTTTGAATACAAACACATTTTTTTGCAGCTTTCCACCATAAACTTACATGCCCCTTCAAAGGATTGCATTGTCATTGAGCCTTATCTTGTCAGGCCTTGGGAATTAATAGCTGCTGTAAAAGAATTCAGCTCATAGGATGTAATGACTTCTGCCAACATCCATGAACTCTGAATTGGATGACTGCTAGAAGCTGTAAAGGCTGAAGCGTTGTTCCAGTTGAACTGCTGAGCACAAGTTTGTAATGTGCTGGTATAGAGCTGCAGGATGACCGTTTTGAGGTAAAACATTCCTTTCTAACACTTTTGTGTGTGTGTGCACTGTGAGCATCAGTTCAGGAGCAGTATCTCTTGACTGGAGATAACAAACTGGTGCTGGGTGTGAGCTGTACACCCTTCCAGAGTGGGTGCTGTTTGGTGCCAGTCTCACTTCATCTCTTCCCAAGTGTCTTCTCCTGGGCCAGACTGCCCTTCAGTTTTCAATTGGGCCATGTGATGGCTGTAGTTCATGTCATCTTTGTCATCTTCAGGAAAGTGTGTTCCATCCTTGCTATCTCGTCATTTGAATGAGATCAGTGTTCTGCGCAATTGGTGCACGCTTTTCCTTTAACCCTTATCTTATTCTTAGCTTATTCTTCTGTATTCATGCACATCACATTGGGGCTCAATTAGTATTTGTTACAAACATTTATAGTAGCAGTCATCCACTGCTGTGGAGAGGGCTTGACAGGTTTGTTTTCCTTATTCAAAGAAAAAAGCCCACCGCATTACTTTTCCGCTTTACTCACAGAATGCTTTCTCAGCTGTAGATCCTGTCAGTGAGGGAGCTGGGAAATGTTTTGATGTTAATTGGCATGCAGAATTGAAACGCAGAAGTCAATGAGCATTTAGCATTATTAAACTTTAATGGATATATTCCATATATAAAAAAAAATATATCAGATTTGGCATAGGATAACCATTGGTAGATTTATTTTGATCTCTACAGGGAGAGTTGTGGGCATCTCCAAGGGCAATGTCACACTTAATGTAAAGAGAGCAAGAGGAGAGGTGCTACAGGAAGCCAGATAGAGGAGTGCAGCTGAGAGGAACCATTTCTGTGCTAAATAACACAGAGAGCTTGGAATGTCATGAGCTTTTCAGAGCCTTGCCCTTTGTAAGTTGTGGACTCAAGATTAGAAGTGTTGATTTTGCCTCTTCCTCTCTAGTTTTGCGTGCAACTTAAGGTGGCAACTTAAGGTGGCTGCCTTCTCCCAGCCCTACCTTCCCACCGCTGACAACAACCTTTTGGTCCATGATACAGATTAAGGTGATAAACTGGGTTAAAATCACCCTCTTCCGTTGAGGCTGGTTGTCCAGTCCCAGATTATCAGGCTAATTCCCCACATTATCACAAGAAAAGGTGTGGGTATGTTAAGAGAGCAGGAAAACACAGCAACGGGGACAAATTTTCAGTGTCAGATGTTTCAGATAATGTTCTGCAGCAGTAATCCAGAGATGACACCAACAAGAACAAAATGACCAAAGCAAAACAAAATAATTATTCATCTGGGATAAAAGCTGTGAGGAAGGCTTACAATTTTCTCTTACAAATATCAGAATACAAATGTTTTTCTATGTTTTCGGTAATATTAAAGCAGCAATCTGCATAGCCATTCAGCCTTAGGGCTATGTCAGACGCTTTGAATTTATGATGTGTTTGCTTTCAAAGTCCAGTAACTGACTCGTGCTGCTGACACTGAGCTGTGCAAGGGGAACGAGGCATTATCTCCAGGTATCTCAAATTGTTTCAGGCAATAGCAGCAATGTGGGTCTCCTTGTGGCACGACCTGAGTGAGCTTCCATTGCAGCGCCAGTAAAATTTAGGAGTGCAGCAAAGCACCATAGACATGACCAACCCCAAAGTCAGCATGATACAAATGACCCATTTTATCATCCCGGAGTATATGAACGGGAGGATGAGGATGGTGAGAATCACCAAAAGCAGCAGGAGCAGCACAAGTCTCTGCACAGCCAGTCTGTTGTCTGCTGGGATCGTTTGGTCTCTGTTTACAATGTCCTGGCTGCTCTGAGCCCAGCTGCTGCTATCCAGCCCGATGCTGGAGACGTGTACCTCATGACATGAGTCGGGGTGCTCCAAGAGGTCCATGATCTCTTCTTTGTTTGGGAGCGTGCGGATAAGTCCTCCTGACACAAACGTGTTTTTTCTGCACAGGGGGCAGGTGATTATCCAGGTATTCTCCTCTTTCCTGAGGATGAGCTTCAGGCAGACCGCACAGAAAGCATGCTGACAGCCCAGGAGCTTTGGGACCCGATAAATGCTGTACTTGTTGAAGCAGACCAGGCAGTCCATGTCTGCGACAGATGATGTGGGTGAAGGCTGGTCGTCCCTTTCAGAACTGCATACCTCAGGAGAGCTCGGGTTTGTTACCATAGCAAGAGATGCTGAGTTCAGACCGTCTCCTGAAAACGCTGTTTTCAAGGCATCAGGACTGTCTAGCTCTGTGCCTGGAGAGCTCTCTGTTTCTTTGGAATGTCCCTCAGTGAATGCCAGTCTCTCCACATCAGCAGCATTTTCTGCATGGGGTCCTGCTCCGCTCATTCCTGCAGCCCCTGCGGTGGGAGCAGGACTGACCTTCTCAGCCTGAGGTGCTCCAGAAGCTGTCCGCTTGTTCTCGCTGCTTAGCTTGTCCATGGATTTCTCCATGGAGATAAACCTCAGTGCAGTTTGTCTTCCCTTAGCCGAAGGACTTCCCAAGTTTCTGTCCCCTTTTATGTGTTCCTGTTGCATGCATCATCTAGTGACAGCTGTTTTTAAGTGTGTTGTGCTCTCACAGTGTGATGTTTTTATGAGCTGGCCAGTTAATAATTAACTTCATGGCCAAGACATTTTATAGTGGCTGCTATCACTGAGCAATTCCCATCCAGAAGGAGATCCCATAGTGTAATGAGACTGCAGCTTTTTCCACAGGGACAGCCAGACTGAGGGAATGGCACTACTATTATTAATCAATTAGCACTTGATTTGTTAAGGGTGATTTCTTTGGGTTCTAAGCACAGCCTGGTTGGACAGTGACAGTCAAAGAATTGTCTAATTGGTGTACTGAGTGCAGTGCTTTGATTAGAGAGTGAGGGACAGAAAGGCAGGAAAACTGTCCTGCTCCTTTCTTGCACTGGCTTTCTGCACCACCTTGCTAAGTTGTTTTGTTCTCCTTCTCTTTTGGCATTAGAACCACAACGATGAACATTACCTGCAGGTACCGCAAATGCCTTCCATGCAGGGCTGACAGTAAGGAAGGCTGTCTTGCTTTAGCACTGCTCAGTTGTTGTGTTCAGTGTCTGATTGTTATCAGCTCTTTCTTATAGGAGCACCTCTGTTGGTTTTAGGTGCTAACTGAAGCATGACTTGAAATCCATGAGGTTTTCAGAGCCCACAAAAGAGATCTGGAAACCGTCTTGGTAGGACTCTTGTTGGCATTCACAGGACAACCTCGTGCTCTCAGTAATGCCCAGGTAGGTGGCTCTGAGCTCTTCTGAAAAATGAGTGCCTGAACAAAATCTCTTTTATTTGAAGGGTAAAATACAGACGGTTTTCTCAGTAAGAATCCCGTGGAAGGAAGGAAGGTAGAAAAGGAAGGGTCAGTGATCCCAGAGGGCTTGGAGACACGCAGTACCAAGCCTGTAGCCTCAGATGCACTCGAATGCTATCCGCGCTACTGCATAGCAGCCCCTCCACGGGGGGGAGCAGCAGAAAGAACTGAAATAACCGCAATTAAAGGGGAAGGAATCCAGGAGGACTCTAATCTGATGAACTGCTGGAGCGTGGCTGGGGTGAGAAGAGCTTGTTCTGTGCCTGGAATGGCAAAAGAGTTGTTGTAAGCAAACTTCAGAGAAGCGTCAGGGCGTTGTGCTGTGTTTCTGCTGACAGAAGATACAGCAGAGTTTGACGGACTTTTGGGTGACCCCAGTTTTTAGGGGCACGACGACCTTTCAGTTGAAGACCGCGGGCTGTGCCTGGTTTTTATGGGTCAGGTTGAATTAAAAATGCCTTTTCGTGGCTGTCCTGCACTGATGAAATGCTCAGCTGGTGTCCAAAGGAGCCGTCCGAATTTTGACTCGGTTTTGTCCTTGGCTAGCACCTATAGAGGGGCTGTAAGAGAAAGGGAACAGACTTTTAGCAGAGCTTACTGTGATGGGACGGGGAAAACTGGAGAAATCTAGCAGAACGGCAGCAGTCCTGCTGGCACCTGGAACACCGTGTCGTGATACCTTTGTAAAGCGCCCGTGCGCTTACGCTGGTTGTGCGTTTGTGCCCCGGCTCGGATGGAACAGAAGCCCGGGTTCGGACGGCTCAGCCCCGCTCCCGCGGTGCCCCCTGGCGGCCACTCTTCCCGGGGAAGGGAGGGCGGGGGAGCAGAGTGGCGGCGCTCTACCTATCCCAAAGCCTCTCTCGATGGTGCCGTCCCGCTGCGCATGCGTGGAGCCGCCGGCGGGGATGTCCCGCAAGCAAGCGGCCCGGGCCCGGCCCGGCGGCCCCAAGAAGGCCCGGCGGTCCCGGCATCCCACCGGGGGCACGGCTCTGAAGCCCTCGGAGGGCGGCGGGGGCCTCGCCAGGCAGCTCCGAGCCCTCGGCCTCAAGCTGCGGGAGGTGCCGGGGGATGGGTGAGTGCCGGAGGAGTGAGGGCTGAGGGGCTGCCTCTCCCGGTTGAGAAGGGTCTGCGCCCCGCAGGGATCCGGGCGTTCCCCCCGTATCCTCGGATAACGTCGGTCTGTGCCCTTCTGCTCCCCGCTGGCACGGACGGGCTCAGGCCTATGCTGGCCGGAGGGCTTCCCGGCAGTGCGGGCGTCAGAGGACGGGGTTGGTTGGACACGTGCCTTTTGAGAAGCTGGGCCGTGAATCCTTGGGTTGGCCTTTGCTCTTTGTCTCCGCGGCAGTTCAGGCCAGCTTTTGACTTGCTCTGTAGGAGCTGATGGTGTGTTCACTTAATTCTTGCCCCTTGTTCTTCTAACCTCAGTTCCCGCTGTCCAGCCTGTATTTCTTCTGCATTGGTTTAATAGTGCATTTTGTTAGCAGTGCTGCCAACACACTCACAGGTGGTTTCTTGTTCGTTAGCAACTGTTTGTTTCGTGCCCTGGGTGACCAGCTGGAGGGACACTCCCGGAACCACCTCAGGCATCGCCAGGAGACGGTGGAGTACATGATAAAGCAGCGAGAGGACTTTGAACCCTTCGTGGAGGATGATGTTCCCTTTGAGAAACATGGTATGGATTCCATAGGATGCTCATAGATGAGGTTATTCTGGATATGATTGTATCTCATTTGAGTGCTTCCTGTTAAGCTATTCCTCATCCCAGCAGTATGTTATGTGGAGCCTCTAATCTTTAGTAACAGCATTGAGTTTACATTTATTATGTTTCTGTAGAAAGATGAGCCAGTAGAGTTGTCCTGGAACTTATTTGAATTTAGGAGGAATCTGGAGAAGGGAAGAAAAAAAGGAAAGAGTGAAAAGTTAGGGTTTTCACAAGGAGAAAATAAAGCACATGAGGTTTCACTTGAGAAAATGAAGCATCCAGAATACTGGTGGCCGTTGAGTGCTGACTTCCTTGGATTTCTTTCTCCTTGACATGTGATATTTTATATAGAGGAAGATCCAAAGCAGAGACCAATGCAGCCTTTGTTCTCACAACCTTGTGCTTGTGCCAGGTGACATGAAGGTGATGCATGAAAGCAGCGTGGTCATTTAGTGCGTGGCACCTTTCCAGAGAGCTAATGCAGAACTGATGGTCTTGCATAATGTAAGGTGTGCTGCATTTTCTGGAGTCTCTGTGGTCATTTAATACTCATAAACTTCTGACACTGCTGGATTCTTGCCCCTGCAGTTGCCATTTAACAGTGGAATTTCCTTTCCAGAATTTATTTCTTGGGCTCCTTGTTGAAATTTTATTACTTGCTATCCCTGCAGTGCTTTTGGAACTGTCAGAAACCAGGTCTCTAACTCTCATAAATCTCTTGAATTTTTTTCCTTCAGTTACCAATTTGGCAAAGCCTGGTACCTTTGCTGGCAATGATGCTATTGTGGCCTTTGCAAGGAACAATCAGATGAACGTGGTTATTCATCAGCTGAACGCACCGCTGTGGCAGGTGAGAAGGAAAGCTTGTACTTTGGCTTGGCTTCTGGTTGATGGATACAAACTATTGAAACTTTCTGATCCATTAAAAGAGAACAGAAATACTGCTCAGCAGCCATGCTTAGCTTGGCATGCTGGAGAGCTGTCCTTGCTTTTTCAGCCTTGAAGAAAAACTCTCAAGGCTTCAGTTAGGAGGATAAGGAATGAAAGACAGCAATAAATGGTTGAAAATAAATATATGGAGCCAGAACAGCGTGAGAGAAGCAGCTTTAAAACCCTGGGGTGGCATTTAATCAGCTCCTGGAAAGGACTGTGCCCTGTGATTCCGTCTTACAGGGGGAGACTGGAACAAGTCATCCATCAGCTCCCTTCTGCTCTGCTTTAAGTGTATTCAAACTAGTTTCAGATGGATTCCTGAACCCAAACAAATTTAAACTCTCATTTACATGGCAGCCATTAGCAGTAAGATCTCTAATGTATGTGAATATATCTATAAATATCTTACCAACTGTACCTGCCAGTGACACGGATGAGTAGGAACACTGATCTGCTTGACCTGCAAGACTGCATGGAGGCAATGACCCTGCAGGGGAGGTCGTGGAAGTGCTGTTCATGTTTTACTGTTCTGAACCGGATCCTAACGTCAGCAAACTTAACTCTTATCCATATTTTTTACATCCTCTTGAAAATCTCTAACTCCTTTTTTTTTTTTTTCCTTTTTTTTCCCCCCCCACTCGCTGACCTTTCCTGGGTTGTAAATGTTTGTGGTGAGGACCTGCTTTGTGTGCCTGCTTGGAGTCTTATTAATGAAAGGTGTCTGTAAGCCCTTGAAACTCATATCAGGGGGCAGGTTTTGTGTGAGGAGCTTCTGGAAGGATCACATTGTGGTGACAGTCTTTCCTAGTTGCTAGATTCAACTAAACCAGGACAACTTCTTAATGTTAGCCATAATAATTTCTTATTTTTTCATACTTCCTTATATATTGCTTTCTATCTCTACTTTGGAGCCCCAGCAGCATACTGGAAAGATTAAATTACAAAGAGAGCATTTCCAGAGAAGTAGATCAGCAAGATGCTTAAAGCAGATGGTGTGAATACCTCCTTTGGTCTCAAGTCAAAAGCAGATGGTGCATTATCCTTTAATTTTAAGAAAACTATTTGCATGCACTGCAGCTAAGCTGCAGAAATGTGAACAGGGGAAGTGTTTGGACCCTGCAGCTGTTTCTCAAACTATGACCTACTCAGAAGCTCTGTGGAGTTGGGCATCCCTGTGATGGCTTCTTAAGGCTTTAGTGACCTTTAACTTTTTCTTTATAATGACTGAAAATGTCAGGCTCCAAGTTAGCACAGACACGTGGGTTATTTTGCTGGCTTTTGGGGTAACTCTTTACCTTTTTTTAGTGTATTTCTGTTTTTTTTTAATCTGCATCTACCTTTAGCTTAAAATTCCATTGTATTTTGGAGGGAGCACACAGTGAGGCTTCAATACTGACAGCCAAAGAAATTGGCTCATCTTGAGTCTTAAGAGCTTCAGGATTTGTAAGATAACCATTTAGGCTCTGATAAATGAGAAATGTTGAGAAATCCGAGATTCAACGTGTGGAACAACTTAACAGGGTAAAAGGCAGGAGCTAAACGTAACCAAGTGTTGAGTTGGAAGTCAGAGGTGAACAAGTGTGGAAAAAGGTGAATGGGGAATGAGATCTCTTGTGAAATCCGTTGTTAATGCAGCACGGACTGCAGTCTTGGTTGAAAGGTGACTTGGTGTAAATTCTGCAAGCTGGGAAAAGACGTAAAAGGATTGGGAAACTCAGGAGCCCTAAAGCAGGCAGTTTTGTCATTTACTTACTGGAATCTTCTCCAGCAGAGGTGTCGTATCCTCAAACTCTGGCTTGGCAGGTGGGCAAAGGAGACTTGCAATTGTGGTGTAATATCCTGCATTCCTTGCAGGAGTTGAAATGCTGTTAGCTTTTATCTCATAGATGGAGCTAAATTCTCATGGTGGGAGTTCTCTTACAGAAGCTGCAGTGCTTGGTGCTGACAGAGCAGAGGAAGGTTTGATTGTTAATGGTGCTCTTGAGTTAATCAGTTCTCCTGGTTTTCTTCATTGGTATTTCTTTTCTAAGCAAAGCATCCACTTCAGCTGCAAATCAATAAAGCAGTGTCTTGTCACAACTGCAGAACAAAACTTGCCATGGGTGCCTGTTTCTACTGCAGTTCCAATTTGATCAAACTCTCTTTTTCCTTGCACTTGAGGGGGGAAAAAGGCACTGTGTCTTGTATGGACACCATCACTGAAAACGGGTTTGGAAAAGATCATCAGAAAGCTGTAACTGCTGCTGTAGAAAGCTTAGAAAATCTTCTTAAGCTTACCATTAAAATATTTTCCTGCTGTAACTGAGCCAGCAATGTGTATCTCACCCTTCAGACAGAAGCTGTGTTGTTACTGTAGGTACATCTGGATTATTAGGTCAGAGCTTCCTGTTTAAAGATGCTTCAGCAGCTACGTACTTTTTTCCTAGCACACTGTTAATCATTACTTCAACAAGTAATGCTAAGAAAAATGTGACTCTGAAGTGAAGCTCAAATCCTCATTTGCAGTCTGTTTGTTTCAATTAGATTCAAGGCACTGACAAAAGCAATGTGAGGGAGCTGCATATTGCATATCGGCACGGGGAGCACTACGACAGCGTGAGGAGAATCAACGATGATTCTGAAGCCCCAGCATATCTTCAGATGGAGGTTGGTTGTGTCACAGTGCCCTGATCAGCTGTGGCTGATAAGGAACAGCTGAATGTTACCAGTTGATTTACTTTCTCATTTGCATTGAGAGAAGAGTGTGGTCCCTGTTCCATCCTGGGGATAGAAGAATCCCTGAGATCATTTTAATTAGTGCTGCTCCTTTTCTTGAGGCCGTATGGGAAGTGCTTAAATTGTTGGCCTAGAAATCACTCTTGAATGTGATGCACTGATATATGGGCTGTAGAAGTCTTGAGTTCACACCATCTCAATTCGGCTCCTCGCCTCAAATACAAAAACAAATGGGAGGGAGGAAACAGATGGAAATGCAACCTCCAGATCCAATAATCTTCATATCTTGCTTTTTCCTGTTAAGGAGTGAGCTGCCCTGTTGGCAGGGTTTGTCTGTGTGTGTTTGTATGATGTGTGGAACTATAATAAAATCAATACTTAAAAAGCCAGTGATTGTTAACTGGTTTGCATGATCCTGTAGTATATAAGAGCTTTCTCAGTGGAGAATTTATGAATCTTGGGAAGCTGTGTTAGGGACAGTGGAAACTGTGTTAACTTCCACTGATTTTTCTGAGAAATACATGTTATGACCCAATTTATGTCAGTGTCAAATTGTATATGATGAAACTAATGCATGCTTGTGGGCTTTGCTTTTCTTGTAGATGCTCTCCAAAAATGACTCAAATAAGGAGGAGGAAATGAAGCAACAGAAGGATGACTCTGAAGATGAGACTGAAATTGAAATGGAAGCTGCTGTACAAGAAGTGTGCAGTGCAACTGGGTGTTCAGTAAGTATTGGGTGCCTTTTAATGCTCCATGTTCAAAACTCCTTGATACACAAAGGTAATCCTTAACAAAAAGTGTTTGTCCTGAACAGTCTCAGTACTGCAGGCATCAATTAGGGTGCACAGCATCCTGGAATCAATCAAGTACATACTTTGTATGGGTAGTGAATAGTTTTGGAAGCTTTGTCTTACGATCTCTCTCAAAAAAAACCCCTTCAGGACTGTTTTTTTTTTTTAATTATTTTTTTCCCCTCAGTTTCTTGAAGAAATTGAGTATGAGCTAATGGGAACAGCATAAACAGCAGCAGGTGGCTGTTGAATGGATGTCTGTATGTCACTGGTTTGAACTCTGATGTTATCTTTCTCTTGGACAGGACATTGAGTTGGTAAACCAGGTTCTGAAAGTGGAAGACTACAACGTAGAATCTGCGATATTTGCCATCTTTCAAGTGCAGGAAGTGGAAAGAATCAGTAAGTACGTGGACTTTGTCACTTAGTGCCTCAGAAAAATGCTGTCTGACCTTAATGTTCACTGTGAACAGCAGTTCAGCAGGGACATTGGCAGCAGGAGCTTCCTGTTAGCTGTGCTGCTGCCTCTTCTTTACTTAGAAAAGTTTGGAGGGCAGATTTTGTGCTCCTGCGTAGTCTTTGGTAGCAATGCCAGTTGTGAGACTGACCAGGGTCTGCTGAAAGCACTAAACTAAGTTCCTACTGTGACACTGAGCATACTGTATCCTGTTTGTTCCCCACTAAAATCTGGAAAAGCTCTGTGTGAGATTAGTAATCCCTGGAGCCGTTCTTGTGGCTCTGCTTTCAGACTTTAACATCCCTGGGCATGTTCTGTCCTAAATCTATTCTGTGGACAGCCTGATGTACCCAGGTGTAACCCAGTTCTTGAGCACTAAGGGCCCTGACTTTTCTTTTTTGTTGCTTGTGATGTAGTGTCTCCCCTGTGAAGTTACGAGCAGTTGTCAGTAGAGCTTTGTTCTGATGCTTCTGAAAAATAAGAGCATGTCACTGGGTGAGTGTGAAGAGACCCCCTTCTGCATTGCAGCAAGTGACAAACATGTTGTCCTACAAGAGCAGACAGAAGCGAGCAGACTGAACTTTGTCTTTTTCCATATTTGATCCAGCTTCCAAAAAAAATCACTGTTCCAGAAAGCCTGGAAGAAGGAATTGGCTGACAGAGACAGCTTCTGTGTAGAGTGTCTGAGACAAAACTGTGTTGTTGGTAGGTGCTGAGGAGCAGAGTGATCCCCAGAGCGAAGGTCAGAAGCTGTGTGCCTCATCTCTGTGTGAAGATAATGGAAGCAGTTCAAGAATCTTTGGAAGTCAGAGTTTGCATCACCATGAAACAGAAAATACCAAAGCACGGGCTAGACCTGATGAAGAGAGTCGAGCTAATAAAAACTTCAAGGTATGTGCATGGTGGGTTGGCGGTGATTGAAGCATCCTTTAAAGATCAGGGGAGCGCTTAGGATGGCTTAACCAGCAATGATTTTCTCCTTTTAATTAAGAAGTACTTCCAGTTACTGGATTGTGAGAAAAGCCACAGCTGTAGCAGCAACAAAGACGAGCACTTAGTAATGACGTATGCGCTCTTCCCACAGTGACACAAAGTTCAGATAAATAGTCTGGAATAAGCATTTTCTGGCAGCTGCTTTGGTATCTGCTTGTCTCCTTTCCACCGTGTTATTTTTCCTCAGCTGGGCACAGAATGTCTGCTTTCAGCTTTGTTTTTGTTCTCCCCTTCTCAGGTATTTAAAAAACAAAAGAAGGAACAGCAGCGGCTGGAGAAGAAGAAGCGGCAGGAAGAAAGGCACCGACAGAAGGTCTTGGCCAGTAGGAGTAACTGTGCAGATAGCAACAGGACAGAGGTGGACTCAGATAATCAAATAACCTTGGTGAAGACCATGGCAGCTCTAAATATATGACTGAACGTGTTCTGAGCGACCTGGTGAGAAAAGCAAAGGATTCTGATGAAGATAAATTTCCTCTTAAGCAAACTTCCAAGCATCTGTTGTTACTGTGAAATTGTTTTGTGTGGAGGTTGCTGAGCACGTAGGCACTTTGTTTCTTCACTTGCAGGGCAGGCAGTTGTTCAGTAATCCTACAGCAACCTGTGTGAGAGAAGAGTTTTAAACCTAACAAAAAAAAAAGTAGGGACTGCTTTTCATTATCTTGGTGGTGATGATGATGAAGGTGAGAATTTTCATTACACAGCAGCGTCAGATTTGCCTTGAGATCTCTTCATGTGCTTAGATTTATTATGGCAACTTTTTACTATGGAGGAGATTTATTTTACCTTACTGTCAGGGAAAGTGATAACAATTCTCAACTCAGGAATGTGCTTTTTTTTATTTAAGTTTAAAAAATAAGGGAATAGTCCCAAAATTCTCTTTTTTTTAAAAAAAAAAAAAAAAAAAAAGTATCAGCCAATGCTGTCAAACATGAGATTCCTCTTTTCTTTTTCATCTGGGAATGGACTCCTGTGGCTGCAGAGCTGATACATTCGATCTGGTGAGGTCTAACAAGGTCGTAAAATATGATAGGAGCAGACTTGGAGTTTGTGCTGAGTGCTGTTACTTGCACATCTGCAGTCTCTTCTCCTTTGCCATACTCTGGAGCCTTAGGGGAACTGCAGAGCTTTAGTGCAAGCCAGGATCTTGATAGTCATTAGTCTCTAAATGAAATTAGTATAACCAATGGATCGAGAGTCTTGGGGAAAGGCTTCCAAGCAGCAGTGCTTACTGGAAACTATGCCTGGTTCACTCCTTGTAAATCAGGCTTTTTCTAGGGTAGGGTTTTAATCTTAATTTCCTCTCAAACCTGTGGTGCTTTCTACTACAGGATTGGGAATTTGAACTGAAGTAGAAGCACTACAGGACTTGGCCTCTGATTTATGGCTTGCAGTTGTTCAGCTTCAGTCAAGTTTTGGACTTGTATTGAGCATCAGCTTGAAGAAAGCATGTGTGTACTTACACACAACAGACAGCAGGAGATACCTTATTAACCAGGGCAGAGATGAAATGATTTCTTTTCAAAGTAAGAAGCATTAAAAAAACCCAAAACTATACATAATCTGTATGTTCTGTCAAGCTTCCAAACCAACATAGAAATGTCAATATATGAATGTTTTGCTGTTGGCTGGAGTGAAAAGTGTTTGCACTCAGAAACCTTAGAGGGCAGCATTGACTTGATTAGCTCTTTCCCAGCCAGGTTCTGTCTCGTTTTTCCCTTCTGGTAGAAATGTTTGGTTCAGATTTCTGACTGAGGAGAGGTTAAGGTATAACTTGAAGTCCTCTCTCTAATGGAACCCTAAAGCCCTGGCAGTACCCACAGCTTTAGTAAGTCAGTAATTGGCAGGACAGGGCTGGTTTGCACCTGTGGTCTGGCTGCCTTGTAGTGTTGGATCCAATAGCTCTGCTGCAGCTTTCCCACCCGTTCAGGCACTGTCTTGAAACAACACATTAGAAGTTGTCTTGGAAAATTATTTTTATTTGCAAAGATTTTTTGATTTATTTAATTCTGAGGAGCAAGCTTTCCTTGTGCACCAATTCAGGGTCTGGCAGGGTTGGCGGAGAGGTTCCAAGTGCCTTTTTGGTGGAGTAGGTCTGGAGTTGTGCCTTGCTCCATCTCACTGCAGGAAGAGAATCTCAATTTAGAGCACTTCCAATCAGGTTTTGAGTCTGGCATCTCTAGCAAGAGGGAAGTGAGCCCTTGCACTTGAAGTTTAAATAATTCTGGTAGCTTTTGTTGAAGGTTTTGAGGTTCCTCTTGAAACACTCTGCTGCCGCCTTGTCACACTCACAGGTACCTTTTTGGCATGAATTCCCAGATCCTGAAGGAAAACAAGGGGAGGGCGAGAGCTTGGAGTTATCTTCAGGTCATCCCCATGAACCCTGGGGTGGCTGATGATGAGTCCTGTTGCCAGCATCCTCCCCCTGGGGCATGGAGCTGTGTGGCTACAAACCAATAATGACCCTGGAGGGAGCCTTCAGTTTACTTTATATAGATATTTGTTTTGGTCATGAGGAAGTGCTTGGTTTTGGTCCCTTCACCCAGAGATGGTGTTTTTTTGCTTCGGATTGGCACAAGGGACAGCTGGGAAATCAGGGTGACCCCATCCAGATTAGAAAACCTCAAGTGTTCTGTGTCCAGTTGTACTGGATCAATATTTGGCCTCTATAGAAGGGGAACCCCCATCCTTTGTAGCTCTAGACTTTACCATGGCTCCAGCTGGTAGGTTAGCACCACTCCTGGCACCTTTCCTTCACTTCCACCCCCCTCCCCAGCAAGTGGTTTCCCAGCCAGGTTAGTTTGAAAGACACCAAGGAAGGGATTCCCTGGAAGTGTGAGTGGTTGGACCTCGTGCCATCTCTTACCGCATGTGATCTGGCCTCCCTTGATGGAGACTGTGTAAAGGACAAGGTGGGGAACGCAGGTCAAGGATGACAACTTCTTGTAGCAGCAGTCGTGGGCATGGCAGCACCTGGTGTCACATGAGATCTGATCAGGGCAGAGTGGGGAGCAGAGGGGAAATGGTGGTGCATAACCTGTGTGTGCTGGGTGCAGTGCTTGCTGATCAGCCTCATTCACCTGAACGTTCCCATTTTTCTGCCTCAGCAACTTGGTGTGACACCAAATGGCTGCCTTAATTAGCCCAGGTTTGTTCAGGGATCGTCCTCCTTTTGTAAGCTGGTGAGCATGTTGTGAGCTGCTGCTGCTGAGCAGCTTTAAAAGGCGCGTGTTAAGGTTACACTGTCTTTTGGCATTGCTACCTCAGCTCCAAGCCTCGTACGCAGGGAGAGGCAGAGAAGACAGATGATCTAAGATTCAGGAAAAGCCCCGTGTTCTTCCCTGCTCTGCCTGCCCCGGCTACACCCTGCCTTGAGCTCTGGGAAAAGAGGGCTGGCAGCAGCCCTCTGCCTCCTCACTTACCAGTCTGTTGCATCCACCGGCCTCTTGGATCCCCCGAGTCCGCAGTGGCAGCCGTAGCCGTTGTAGGACAGTGCAGACTTCCCAGTCTTCTCTTTAATCATGGAAGCAAACTGAGCCACGTTGCAGCCCGCGGGGGCCAGCCCTGCAACTGGAGACACGCTGTTAGTGGCGTTGGAAAGAGAACCCCCTAAAAACAGACTGAAAAAGAGGGGCCATCAGCCCAGGCTTGCCCCATCACTGTGCGAGGGGTACTCACGGCAGATGAGGAGCACCAGGAGCTTCATGGCCTCGTGATGGGCAGCACTGGAGCAGGATGATCCCAGGGTGCTGAGTGTGAGCCCAGTTGCACGTTTTATAGCCGATGTGTGTCCGCTCAGCGCGATTCCTCCTTTGATTTCTCCAAAGTGGGCAAATATTGACAGTCCTCGTATTGGTTCTGTTACATGTGCAAGCTGCTGCTGGCATCTTGGAGGCCTGCTGAGGTGCAGTTCCCTTTCTTGTGAATGTCGGGATGCGCTTTGATGGGAGGGCAGGGGATGTTTACATGGACTGGAAATGAGTGAAGTCTTCTCTGTGCGTGACTCTGATTATCTCAGTACTTTCCACAAATAGGGAGAACTGGGGGGAAAACCGTAGCAGTGTTGTCTCTAGATGGCTTCTGAAAGCACCGTGCTGTCTCTTACTGTTTCCCTGCTTGCTTGCACAGGGAGAAAATGCAGAGTGCCAACTATCTTCCCTTTCTGCTGTCCTGACGTGGGTGAGATGCAGAGATGTTTTGTGCTCAGTCCCAAGTGATGCTAAGCATTGCACATCTTTGTGCCCCAGCAAGTGCTGTAACAACATTCTTGGGGTCTGGCTGGGGTTGCTGGTAATAATTAATGAGTTTGGCATGTTTACGTGGAGTTGCCTTCTTTCTCCTCCATGCCCTGTGCACCAATTCCAGTGCTGCTTTCAGCACACTTGTGCAGCACCTGAGCTAACAGAGCTGCCTGTGGAGCTCCAGGTAAGCTGTTTGTATAGTCGGATGTCTCAGCAGAAAAATATATCAAATTTAAACAGGGAGAGAGTGTTGCAACTCATCCTGGTGTGCAGTCTGTCAGCTGAATCACCTCTGTGTCCCATCCTGACAAGGGCACGATCCTTGATTTACACCTTGCAAACAGCAGCTGCTTGGCGCAGGGCTGCGCTCTCCTTCCTAGTGGGTGCTCGTGCCCCCCCAGGGCTAAGCAGTGGGTGCCTGGTTTGCAGCTGTGGAGGGCATTTCTGATTCAAGGGACACTTCCTTGTTCAGGGATGCTTCCTTGTTCAATGGGTATTTCCTGGTACTGCTCATCACATCTGGGACAAGCTAGAGTGTGAATTGCAGCTGGCGCTCCTGTGGACACCAGCTTTTGTCACTGTTTTGGGGGTTGTACTTTGTTGCAGAGCCCCACGGGGTTTGCAGCACTGCCCAGGCTCTCCCGTGAGGTCAGCTGTGCTGAATTTACCTGTAGGGCAGAAAACCTGCCATCGTGAGGATGCTTGGGGTGAGAGGAAGCAGCTGCTGCCTGAACTGCCTTTTCCTAAGGGACATGCTGGAGATTGTTGCAAAATAAGGCCCAAACATTCTTTTCTGATGAGAAACATGTTTTGTTCTGCTCTGACTGTGAGGCAAGTGTGATTTCCCCGCCGTCCCATCGCAGCGAAGCTCGTTGGCAGCCAGCCCTCCTGCAGCATCCTGCCTGCCCACTGACTTTCATAGCAGCTTCCATTTCTCTGCCTCGGGGAAGCTGCAAATTGTAGGGAGCTGAAGGCTGAGGGGTGCCAGTGAGCACCATGGGGGATGCATGGACTGGCTTTTCCTTTCTGCAAAAAGGGAATGGTACCAGTGGGCAGCCACATAAGCAGGCTCTGGACCCTGCTGCTCAGCTCTGCTCCTTGAGGCTGGGTGATTTTTTTATTGGTGTCTCCACAGGAAGCCCTGCTAACAGATGAGCTTCCCTCAGTGCTAGGGGTTGTCACTGAACACAGTGAAGTCACAGAAGACCGAAGCTTTGTGCTCTCTGGTTTTATTTTGGAGCAACATACAAGGTTCTGCAGCGAAGCAAGAAGCTGAGGGAGCCGACATCTCTGCAGTGATTTACCAATGGGGAGCTTGAGCCAAAAGGGGTGGACGCCAACAGCAAGACTGCTTCCATCAACTCGCCCTTTGCTGTGACAAGGCACAGGTGTCTGCTCCTCCCTTGTTTTTCTGAGCAGAAACATTCCATCTGCGCCGCCCTCCTCACACCCAGTGTCCGATGACGCAGCTTCACAAAAGGGCGGCTGTCCTCCTGTCGTAACCAAAAAGCCTCGAAGAAGAGCATCGGGAGGCGCTCCTGGCGCCGCGCCGAGCTCCGCTTTGCTTACCAGCATGGAGGTGGGTTTATGACGAGGAGCCTTTCTCCATCAGCAGCGCCTGCCTCGACACCTGCGCAGCGCCCGGCTGCGAGCCCGGCACAGCTGCGCCAAACGCTCACACCTGCAGGCTGCGCGCTGGCACCAAGTCCCGGAGCCTATGGGAGCGAGGGGAAGCACGGCGCTGGGATGGTGGCTGTAGGAAGAACCCAGCGAGCTGCCAGGGTGGCAGTGGGGACTTTATCAAGGTGTCAGGATCCTAAAGCATGGCCGTGGGGACTTACTGCAGGCAGGGACCCCCGGCTGGGGCACAGCGAGGCGTTGGGTCTGTCCCACGCGGCAGCGGCGTGCGGCCAGCTTGGCATAGCAGCAGGCACGGAGCAGGCAGCACCTGCAGGGAGAACGAGAGCCTGGCCCTGACCCAAACAGCCTGCTAGCTGCTCTCCAACCTGCCCCCAGCGCTAAGTCACCCACGGCAATCCTCAGCCTGCTCCCGCTGCTCACACACCCACCTCTTCTCAGCTTTTCTCCCTGCAGCCTCTCTCAGAACCCTAGAAGAGCCCAGATTGGAAGGGACCCATAACGATCACCGCCTCCAACTGCTGGCTCCAGCCTTTCTGCACCCTGGTTTTCAGACCAGCCCTGCCCTGTGCTGCCATCCCATCCGTTTCAGCTGGTGCTCTCTGCCTTGACAAGGCTGCAGGAAGGGGAGCTAATCACTTTCGCTAAATCCTGTTCCCCTTCTGCCGCTTGCTGATGCTGTACCTGTCCATGAAGGCAGCGCGACCACGGCCCCATCCCGAGCCACAGCCATGGGCAGTCAGGTTTCCCACGGTGCTCCCTTCCAGCCCCGGAGCAAACGTGTGCGGGTGCTTCCCACGAGCTGCGAGCATGCCTGAAGCGACCGGAAAATGGGATTTTGTGAGCGAGATAAACAAGCCCCGGTCGGCTGGAGCGGAGCAGCTTTGGCTGGGATCTCCTTTTCTGTCGCAGCTGCACTCACCGCAGGCGAGCAGCAGCGCCGGCATCAGCAGGACCTTCATCTTCCTCTCGCCTGCACCTGGGGGAGAAACGGGCACTGCCCTGCCAACCTTGCCCTGCTGAAATCACGTCGAATTCCTCCAGAAGTTGAAGGGAGGGAGGCAGGAGGGCTCCCTCTCACGGTGCTGCTGCCTCTTAGCCAAAAGCAAGCGTATTCCCGTGCTGTCCCACCGCCCACCCCTCCAGCTCGCGTCCCACCGCCCCTCGCACCAAAGAGGACTTGGCAGCAGCAGCTCCTCAGCTGAGATTTCCCCTCAAAGCACTTCATCACGAGGCAAAAAAAAAAAAAAAAAAAAAGGCTCAGCGTGCCGCCTCCTCCCCCTCCTCCCAACCCCCCAGCCCTGTTCTCACTTCTGCAATGCGATGACCCCCAGCAGCAGCAGGGTCAGGCTGGGGTCTCTTACCGGGAAATGGCACCGGTTCCAATTCCGATCCCTCGCTCCTGGCCGAGCACTGCCCTGTGCCTCCAGCTCCTGCCTGGAAGTGCAGAAATGCCTCTTGCCTGTCCCCACACGCCGTCCTGCTACGCCCCGTCCCTCGCCGGCCAAACCCACAGCCTGGTGTGACGCAGCCTGGAGCCCCTCGCTGCCGTCCGGGGACCCCCAGGCACCCTTCCAGTACCCCCTGCTGCTCCCTGTAGCTTTCTGCAACAGCCCAATACCCTGCCACTGTCTCCCAGTATTGCCTTGAGCTTTCCAGTACGCCCCAGTGCTAGCTAGAGACCCCCAAATGCCCTCCCAGTAACCCCCAAGAGCCTCCCAGTATGCTCTCAGTGCTCTCAGTACTGCCTACAGACCCCAGGCATCCTCCCATCTTCTTTTTTTGGGTCCTGAGCTCCATTCTTTATCTTACACTCCAAAATGCCGCTTGGAGGTTCTAACCATCCTGATTTTTGGTCACAAGATCCCTTTTTGAATATCCAAGTACTAACTTTAGGGGCTTGTAATCCTGTTTGTAGGGCCCAGATTCTTCAGTCTAGGGAATTATTCTTTGAGTTCACAAGTTCAGTTATAGGCTGCAAGTCATGATTTTTGAGGGCTCAAGTCATCTTTTCTCATTCTGTATGCCCATTTTCAGGGTCCATAACCTATTTTTCAGCTCCCCAAACTCAATTTTGTTGACCTAAAGCCCCATGCTGAGTGTCCAAAGTCTCATTTTGTGAGGCGTTGGAAGAGTACAGGGTGTCTGTTGGTTGCACTGGGGGGCACTGGGAGATTGTAGACATTACCACAGAGCACTGGCATTTAACTGAAGGGCTTTGGGCGATGCTGAAGCTCAGTGGAAAGGCACTGGGAAACCTTTAGGCTACACTAAGCAGCTCTAGCAGGGGACTGGAGGGCTCAAGACAGTACTAAGCTGCACTGGGAAGGCATAGAGAGGTTATTGTGGGGTGCTATGCAGCACTGGGAGCATATTGGGGATTTCTAGCAAGGATTGGGGTCCACTGGGAGAGTGTTAGGAGGCTCTGGACAGCACAGAGAGGTGACTGAAAGGCTCTGGATAACACTAGGGGGCACTGGGAGGTTACTGGGAATGCTCTGGGTCTCTGGGCAGCATTTGAGAGCGCTGTGAGGTTATTGAGCTGTTCTGCATAGCACAAGGTGGTACTGCCTGTGTGCTAGGAGGCTCTGGAATGTAATGGGAAGCACTGGGAGGGCAATGCTGGGCTCCAGCTCACAGAGGACCAAGATGATTTAAGCACATAATTTATTTTCACATCGATTCAGTCCAACACAAATGCGAGTCCGTGCAGAAACTCAGTTCCAGAAGCGAAGCAGAGGGCCAAACCCAAAGAGTCTTGGCTTTGCACGTGCTCACCACCTGCACTTGCTCTTGAGGTACAGAACATAGCGGCGGTTGTAGCTCCTCGCGCTCCTCTGCAGGCACAGCCCCAGGCTGCGGTCGCACTCACAGGACATCTGGGCACACCACGAGTCCCTGTCTGCGAGCAGCACGGATTTTGATTGCGTTTCATTTCATTTTGAGAAGGGAGGAGCCCCTTTTTCAGCATCCCCACTTACTGCAGGTGAGGCGGCCGCTGCGCCAGCTGTACTGATAGTGCTGCTTCTTGGCGTTGCAGTGGTACTTCTGGAGGCCGTCGTAGCAGGCATCGTGCAGCTGGCAGCATCTGCGCAGGGCTCTGAGCTTTCAGATTTTCTCCCCTGCTTCCCACACCCCTCAGATTCGAATGATAAATTTGAGTAGGGAGATTTTTAAATGGGTGCTTACCTGTCTGTGGCATCCTTGGGCTGCCCGCGGCCCCCCACGCCGCAGTAGCAGCCATAGAAGGAGTAATGCAGCACGGCGTTTTTCCCCGTCAGCTTTGTGACCACCTGCTGCAGCTGCCAGAGGCTCCCAGCAGCCGGCGACGAGCCTGGAGGGGAATCAGTGTGATGACAGAAACACTTTTCTCCCCTTTTTTGTCATCCCCTTGGTATCCCCTGCTGTATTCCACCACCAAGTCATCTCACCGCGGTCTTACCTGCTGTGCTGGAGAGGAAACTCATCCCCAGCACAGGGGAACTGTTATCTGGGGGGGTTGTTAAGTGTTTTGGGGAAGTGGTGGTGGAAAGTGAAAGCTTGAGAAAGCCACAGCTCTGACACTTCTGTTTGATGCAGGTGTGGCTGCCCTGGCAGCACAGGTGAGGACACTTACCCGAAGCAAACAGGATGGCCAGTGCAAGGAGAGCATTCATCTTTCCTACCGCCCTGGAAGAGGAACCCAACGCCAGGTCATCTCCCCACTGCACCACCAAGCCTCTTGCAGCAGGGGACCTCTCTCCTTCGTGCTCCCCAGCTGGGGATGGAGTAAGGAGGCAATGCCCACTGCAGCCCAGCTTTAGCAACAAATGCTGCGTTTTGGGTGTCAGGGATGGAACAGTAAAGAGGAGCGGGTGCTGGAGAGCAGGAAAAAAAGCAGAATGTAGAGAAAGCTGAAGCCCTTGAGGGGACACAGCCCTGGACTGCTGTCTCAGACTGCCTTTGCTCTGCTGCTCAGCACTGCTTTCTCTGCCTGTGCCTCCATCCCCACTTGCAGTACAGCTTATGGTTAAGGTAGGAAAGGAAGGAAGGTGTTCCTCTAACCCTGCTCACCTCTGGAAAGCCTCTGCCGCTCATGGGTGCGTGGTTGGCATGGCTCTATTTATATAGGGCTTGCTTTCACTTCCACAAACCTGTGGAACACTCAACTCATGCAGTTCTGCAAGTGGGGCTTTTCTATAAAGGAGAAAGCACCATCCTTCCCCTTAATGTGAATGCAGGAAATCCCCCTGCCTCTATCCATGCCAGCAGTGATGACAGCAAAGCGGTGTCACTTCCAGTGAAGGAGGAAGGCAATACACTCTTCCCCAGCCCTAGCAGCTCGGGGGTGTTTTCCACTGCTTTACCGGCCCTGCAGGTGCTGTACTGGGGGATAGCCAGCGCTGATTCCGAAGGTGTAAATCAAAGCCCTAAAAAGGGCTCACAGGGGGCAGGCAATCCTTGAATACTGACAAAAAATGGCTTTTCTGACTGCAGTAGGACGGGATGATCCCCTGACCATCCAAATATGAAGTTTGCTCTGCATGTTAGCTCTGGGAGTGAGTTCAGAGAAGAAGGAGGGGGATGTTGGGAGAAGCCACCAGCCCTGGGCTCGCTTCAGGGAAGTGTTGTTGACAAACCCCAGGGAGTTTTACTTGGTGGTATGTTATTTGTCCCCAGTTCTCAATGCTGGGGATCAAGCGTGGGACAGACCCATCTCTCAGCGGTCCAACAGCAAAACACCACAGAGCATTTTTCACACCGTTTATTCAATTCCTTTTTGCTGGAGAACAAAATCAGTAGAGAAAAGAGAAGAATAAGGGGACAAGAACTCTTCTGGGGAGCTGGGGATCTCCAGCTATCGCATGTGCCCTGCTCACCCTGCGAATCACCTCACTGGGAGGAGGGCTGCAGCCCTTCTCAGCACTCACATCACCCTGTCCTTCCCACAGCAACGAGGAAAGGCACTCAAAACAGGCAGACGTGTGCAGATTTCAGCACTGCAGCTTGCTCCCTCTGCACCTCAGCTTGAAGTAGAAGCGGTAGGACACGTTGTAGGAAGGCAGAGCGCTGGCAAAGCACGAAGCCATGGCCCTGTCACACAGGCAGGTCTCTCTCTTGCACCAGCTTTGCTCATCACCTGCAGGGGACAAACGTGATGCTCTGCCCCAGTGCTGCTGTGCCATCCCTGTGCTCTCACCGCCTCGCCAGGCAATCTGCTCCCTGGCACTCACCGCAGGTGATGTCCCCATCGGTGACATCGAATTGGTACGGGGTTATCAGGGGGCTGCAGCTGCTCTCTCGCAGCTGCCTGTAGCAGCAGTCGTGGGCATGGCAGCAGCTGCAGGAGATGTGTCAGAGGTGAGGGAAGCGCCAGCCCCAAACGTGAGGTGACCGGGAGGAGCACGTGGCCCAGCAGCAGCATGATTTTCCAGGTACTCACGTGTCAGTGGGGTCCACTGGGGTCCCTCTGCCCCCGATGCCGCAGAAGCACCCATACCAGCTATAGGAGAGCAGGGCACTCTTCCCTGTGGTCACTCTGATCATGCGCTCCAGCTCCAGCAAGCTGCCACGCGCCGGAGGCAGCCCTGCAAAGAGGGATGGGGGGACAGAGTGGCATCAACGTGGCCCATCACCCAACCCCCCACAACCACACTGAGCATGGCAGGGAAATGGCAAAGCTCAAACAAAAGACACTCAAAGCCCGTGAGTTTGTATGGTTTGCATGCAGGGGGTTGAGACCCCAGCCTCACCGGCCGACTCACCATAAGCCAGCAGCAGGGCGAGCAGGAGATTCCTCATCTTCACGATGGAGGAAGAGGACGGCGAGCAGCACTCTGGGACTGGTGATGAAATGGGGGCAATAAAATCCCACCCTCCTCTCCCTGTGGCTCTGGGGCTTGGCGGGTTTGCTTTATATGGATAAAGAGGGGAGAGATCCTCCCCCTGTCCCTTGCCGGTGCCCCTTGCACAAAACCAGGAAACCTTGCTTGCTGTAGGGATACAAGTGGCTTGTGCCCTAAAGATATCTGGTCAGGTGGAGGCTCTGGCTACAGACACGGTGCTCCAACCTTGGCAGTGTAGCTAGTGAGTACTGTTAGCAGCTTGTCCTCCGCAGCCCTTCAGTTGATTGCTCTTCAGTCTTTCCCATGCAGTCTTCGCCAAATCTGGTACAACCAGTGTGCGGGAGAAGCTTGAGGCTTCTCAAAGGTTCTGCAACGTGAGACCGTGGGCAAAGCATGAGAAGCCATAAGAGCCCCACCGGGGATGCCTTTGGAGCACAGGTTATTGAATCACTGCAGCCACAACGTGATGCAAAGAGAGGCAGAGCACCTGAGGAGATAACACACAAAGGCTGCTATCACTGCCGAGCAGCCAGGCAGCCCAGAGCAAACAGACAGCAGCCTCTGCCTGTATTCATAGGCACTGCTCCACCCTTGGTAATTAACCCCGCTTCCAAGGGAGGAAATCTGTCAGTAAGAAAACGATGCTTTGTGTGCATAGTGAGGGGGGTGAGGCTGGAGGCAGCTCTGGTCCCACCCTGCCCCACACCAGGTGGGTCGGGGCCTTTTGTGGAGGCACTGGGTTGTGGGCTCGGTGCGTGTGCTGGGCGGCTCTTGGAAGGAGCTCTCGTCCCAATGGATGGGTTTGGGGTTTGTTCCAGTTCTACCCAGTGGAGTGGGGCTGTGTGGTCGCCCTGCTGCCACGCTCCCGGGGTTTAAACACTCATCCTGAGCAAAGCAGAAGGCTCAGGTCAGTTTTTGGGGTTAAAACAGTAAAGTTAGGGGGAGCCTCGGCCGTGACATGGCGCCTGGAGGACCGCGGCAAGGGGGCGCTCTTCCCAGCGCGGCCGCTCCTCTCGGTGGTAGCCGGAAGTGGGACGGTCGCCGTGGCAACGCGGCTGTGTTTACCGGCGGGCGCGGGCGGCACCGGGGTGGCAGGTGTGAGGCGGCGGGGCCGGGCCGTGGGGCTGGGGACTGGGGTCAGACATGGGCTGTGGGGGCAGGACTGGGCTCAGCTGTGGGGCTGAGGACTGGCTGAGGGTCTGGACTGGGCTCAGCTGTGGCGCTGGGGACTGGCTGAGGGTCTGGACTGGGCTCAGTTGTGGGGCTTGGGCACTAGAGGCTCTGCTAAGGAGCTGGGCTGCACTGCGGGGCTGGGGCTGACCCCCAAAACGGGGCCTACTGCCACCCCAAGTCATAGGGCACAGCACTTTGGGTCCCTGTGGGTGCTGCAGTGCTCTGTCCCAACCCCGTGGAGCAGCTCGGGCACCCAAAGTTAAACTGCTGTGTGTTGACAACATGTGCGGTGCTGGGGGGCTGGAGACCCTCACTTGGAGGAGTCTCATTGTGGTGGCTGAGGGCATTTTGGTTGTGTGGGGTGTAACCATGTATCTAAACGTTTATATAAGTCTGTATATAAGTGCTGCAATGCATTCAGAATTTCCTCTTTGTTGCCTTGGAGCACGTTTGTTGGCAGGAGTCAATCAAACACCCCCGTGTGACTGCAGTTGGCAGGAGGAGCGTGTGTTCTGCTGCTCCTCAGAGCCCTGCCTCAAATGGGCACTGCGTGGTTGTTCCATTCCTTCTGCTTGTTTTGGGGAGACCAGTCAGCTGTAAGCAATTTGTGCGCTTACAGTGGCGTGTGTTCCTTTGTCTCCGGCTGCCAGCACTGAGCCACAGGTTTCAGTCTGTGATGCACCAGATCTTTGCTATTAGATGATATGCAGCACAAAGTCAGCAGGGAAATTAAGGCCATTTTAGGCCGTTTCCTGTAACTTTTCATTCTGCTTTCCCAACTGCAGGTGTCTTGGGAAGCAATGGCCACAGCAGCTCTTCTGAACCCAGTACAACTTTGCTGCTACTTCCCTTCAAGCACGGCGCTCTCTGTCTTTCAGCCAAACGCCATCACCATGCACATGACCCGGCCAAAATCTGCCAAGGGTCGCACGAGGTCAACCTTCAATTACTCTGGGACCACAGACACCTTTCCTTGTGCAGTGCCATCATCGCCAGCAGCTCCACATGACTTACAGAGCAGCCGGAGAGCATCATCTGTGAAAGCAGTGTTCCCCTCCGGCCAAATCTCCCCAGAGGAGATCCCTGAGCTCCTGCAGCAGGTGCCGTTGCGGAGCTCGTCCTCCCTGAACAAATACAGAGTGCTCCCCTCCATTGGCCGAAAGGGAGTGGAAGGTGCAGCGGAGCAGAGCGGCCGTCTGGATGCGAGCTGGGGACAGAAGGGTGCTCCAAAAACTGCGGTTCCTTCTGGAGAGCAAAGATCTGCCTGCAGGTCACCAGAAAGCCATGTCCCTAATGAAGAAGCCTGGTGTGCTCCTGAGAAGCCAGGAAGGAAAAAGAGCTCTTTGTTATCAACTCTGAGTTTGGAAGCACCGCTGCAGAAAGAGTCACGATTGCTGCTTGCTATTCGGTCTCCCTCCGGTCGACGGTTTGAACATCACTTCAAGCCCACAGACAGTCTCCAGACAGTCCTTGCTATAGCACAACACCAAACAGCTGCCAAATATGAATGCTGCAGCATTGAAACCACGGAGGTGCCCAGACGGAGCTTCCACGACCTCAGCAGGTCCTTGCAGGAGTGTGGGATCCCCCACAAGTCTGTGCTGTGCATCCGGCAGGCCGAGCAGCAGGACGCCGACCTGTAAGCTGAGCCGAGCACTGGAGCAGCCTGGTCCTCTTCATCTTTCTACAAGTTCCCTTGAAGCAGACTCGTGGTTACCAAAAGCACATGTTGAAGGGCTGCTTCAAGTGTACCCACCTAGACTGACTGCAGGGACAGTGTCTTTTATCCACAAGTTCCTTCCTGAGTGCCACCAACTTTGGTTTTGAAATTAACAGTTTCCTTCTTAGATGTTTGTTCTGTCCTTAGAGCAGGAACCTTCTTCTGCGTCCTCTTCTCTGAAGGTGCCACTTCCCAGAGGGGATCAAGCATTCGGGAAAACAGAAGCAGAACTGTTGTACTCTGTGAAACTCAGCTGGATTGTGGTTGTATTGGTGAGCAGTGGGATTTTCTCCTCAGTTTTTCTTCTCTTGTTTGACGACTGGTAGTTCAGAGGAGCTGGACAGTCAAGGTGGGGTGCTGCAAAATACTTCACTTAATGCTTTTATGCTGAAATGAATTAGTCTTCAGGCCAAGTGCTGCAGTGGGAGGTTTGGTTGTTGTTTCTTTTGCTTACAATTCTGTATTAATTGGCTTTGGGAGAGGAATTGGCTCATGCAGCAGTTTTGTTTTACTGAACCAATATGGCTCTTGCAAAGTTGTTTTGTCAAAAGTCGCTAGTAGGGCAACTTAGTCTGTCTGTGCTAAAAAAATGGACAGCTTGCCACACAGCTGAGCTCATTTTATAACATCGTGAGGAAAACCCAGGCTTTCAGCTCAGCAGAATTGCCAGAGCAGCTCACAAGAGCGATAACAGTAGAAAATTCATTCCAGTATTGACCAAGAATGTTGAATCTCATTCCAAAGTCAGTGTTCAAGGGTCCAGGTCTCTGCTGCAGCAGTTGGTGAGCAAGCTGTAGGTATGCCAGCATCTTCAGGGAGAGCACGAGACCTGGGATGCTTTCATCAGACCTTTCACAGCCGCTCTGTTGTGATATTTGCAGCAGCCTTGAGAACGTGGGCAGCTCAGGAGCACGGATGTGGGTGGTAGAAGAGCACGGCAGCGTTAGCAGGCAGGGACTGGTGCCTGCTGTGTGTGTGTGATGTCACTGCTGCTGTCAGAGTATTTTCATACAGTGTGATGGTAAAAAAAATAATCAATAAAACCTTCTCAGCTAAAATTTGAACTGGCAATGATTTCTGTTTGCTGGAGGCTCGGCCTCCTCTTCATCAAGCTGAATGTTCCAGAGATGGCCTGGATCAGACAGCTCAGCCCTCCAACCAACCCGTGGACTGCAGTGTCTCCAAAGAAGTGTATTTTTCTATAGGAAAGTGCATCAAATCTCCATCTAGGCAAATGCAGTGCAGGAAGAAGCTGCTGCCCCACTCCTCCCCCTCTGCCCTTTGCAAACTGGTCCCTGTATGAGCAGGAGGTGAAGCATCACCTTGAGGTGTTCCTGAATAGAAAACGGATCAGAGCTCGTGGCTGGGCTGCTCCTTACCTATGGCTCTTCAACAACAAGAAGGCGTTAAGAAACAAGCTGAGGCAGCAGTCGGTATGTGTTCTTTATTCCAATTAAAAGTACATTAGAAACAGCACACAGGCCCAGCAGCAGCTTTCATGACAATTCAACTCACTGCTGTCACGAGCTCGTTCAGCTGTACCACGAAAGGAGGTGATTGCAACAAGTCTTCCACTCTGCACGCAAGCACTCACTCACCTGCCACTTTAAATAGGTTTCCAACTGAATAAAAATAGATACACCCCAGAATACAAAAGAGTTTCACAGATTTTTTTTCATTTTTTTTCTTTTTTTTCTCCCCCCCCCCCTAAAGCCTTTATACAAATCGATAAAAGGGTGCGCGGTTTCCTAAAATTTTAGGTACATTTTAAACGAGCCTCTTGTTGTTTTGTTTTGTTTTTTTACTTGGTAAAAGGATCCACGTTCCTGTCTTTGAACAGAATATGACGGCCAGAATAAATTCCTAGTTTTAAATTTACACTGTGTACATCTGTTGGGAAGTGATTCCTACAGCGGCCGGCGGCTGCTCACGCGCATCCCCAGGAGCTCAGGAGCCTCCATCTCCTGCAAACCAGGCTGGGGCTGCAACCTGCAGGCTTTCCCTGTGTGTTGCAGTGGTCCCAAGCCAACTCAAAGCCAAAACTCAAAGGAGTTGCTGCTCGTCCCTTCTCTGGCATGGCTCACCTTGAGGCAGGGGCATGGCTGAGCTGCACTGCATGCAATGGAAGCGGGGAGCGCTTCCCCTCCACCTCTGATATTGAAGCATCCCATCACAGGTACAAATTTGGCATTTCTAAAAGGAGGTTGGTTTTTTTTTTGGTCAACACACAGTTAGGATTTTTTTTTTTCCTTTTTTTTTTTTAAAGCCAGATAAATACTTCTATTATTGGTCAGTGAAATCCAGCAGTTCTGTATACATGATTCACACAGCAGCATCTCAGAACCAGCACCGCCTGCCTGAAGGTGGCTGACCCCCACTCCAATGGATGCTAGCATTTTACAGAGGCAAATTTATTCAGAAAACTAATTAGTACAGTTCCCTTCACACCATCCCCCCCCCTCCCTACCCCCCCTCAATCGTTTGGCAAGGTTAAATGCTTCAGGTGAATTTCTTGAGCACTGACTTCAGCACTGTCACCACTGCACAGCGGCTGCTCTAACAGATCAAGGACAAAGTAAAAAGAAAGCACTGCCCAGCAAAAGCAACACGGCACCTGTGTTAGAGACTCTGACTTACTGGAGACCCCCCTGGGCAATTTACCTAACAAGAAGCTGGGCAAATCCATCATTAAGCCAGAAATGAGTCTGAAGAGCTCAGAAGTTGACATCCTATTTTGTACAAGTTGAGTTTTTACCTAAAAACCAGCTGCCTTGGTTTCGTCTCTTTTTTTGTCTTTTAACTGATCGTGTTTACGTTGAACTTTGCTTCAACTAAAAGCAATAAAGCTTTTTTCTTTTTTTTTTCTTCCCCCAGATAAGTTTTCAGCAATTACGCATTGCCCACTCGTGGCAAGTTTACTTCTTAGCATTCAAAAGATCTCCCCCGTTTTAAGGCTAGACTAAGAAATGTTAAAAGCTTCTGTAAACATTTCCTCTTCCTCCCCCCCCCCTTTAGTTGCACATTTGAAAGTCCAACTGCAATTTTTAAAATGAGGTAATTTTTGTGTACTCGTATCTTAGGAGTCCTCTTCGGGACGAGCTGGGAGGCGTGCCAATCTGATCCAATTGGAGTGGGAGAGCTTCCACTGCAGGGTACGCACCGGTTCCAGCAGCTGTCCTTCAGTTAGTTATCTTCTCAATTTCATCCAAGTCGTCAGTATCCAATCTGTTGATCTTTTTGCCTGTGGAAGACAAGAAACGAGTCAGACACCACGGCAGAGGGCAGCAAAGGGAAAGCTGCTTCCTCCTGAGGAGCTGCACTGATCCGCTCGGGCTCAACAAACAGCCGTCAGTCAGATCTGCTCACATCCACAGAAGCTCAGAATTATCCCTAATTTTAGGGAAAAAAAAAAAGCCTGAGGACACGTACTGAAGTGTTCCTGGATCCTGTTGAGGATATTCATGCTGTGCTTGCTGTCCACCATGTTGATCGCCAGCCCTCGCTTGCCGAAGCGACCCGTGCGCCCGATGCGGTGCAGGTAGGTCTCATTGTCTGGATTTCCATCCTTGTCCACAGGAAGGTCAAAATTGATAACAACAGAGACCTGCTCCACATCGATCCCTGATCAAAGAAAGCAGCAGATGCCACGATTCTGTAGCAGGATCAGCCTCCTGTGGCCTGACCCGTGTGTGTTTTGGTCAGAGCCTCCAACAGATACTCAGACAGCTGCCCCGTGGTCACCCCAGACTGAAGGAAGATTTAACAGCCAGTCTCAAACTCTGAAGCAACACAAGAAGCAGCAACAACCACAGAACCCACACGTGCAGCTGGAAATAAACCTTCTTCACGAGATACTTCTGGGGTACTTTGACATACAAGCCATGCAGCTATCAGCACAGAGAATCCCACCAGCACGGCTAATGAAAAACAGCCTGAACTGCTCAGAGTCACCTCGGGACCCTCATTTGTCTGGAGTGGAAGCTGAGGATAGAAATGCTGTCTGCAAACCTCCCAGCAGTGTGAACAAAGCACTGCTTCTGCCCCTCGCGGCACAGCTCTGCCTCGCCTTACCTCTGGCACACACGTTGGTGGTCACCAGCACCTTTTCCTTGCCCTCTCGGAAGCGCTCTATCACCGCGGCTCTCTGTTCCACCATCATTTCCCCGCTGAGCAGTGCCACCTGGTGGCCTTCCTTCGAGAGCTCCGCTGCCAGCCAGCCAGCCGTCTTCCGGGTCTGAAACACAAAGCAAAGCCTGTCTTTGGGAGGAAGTTTTACTCCACTTTACAAGCGAGGTTTGCGTTATGCCCATGCTCTGAAGTCTCAGAACCATCGTCATTACAACAAAGCCACTCAGCTTGGAAAGGGGCAACCTTTGAGCAGAAAGAAGCTGGGAAATCCAACAGAGGCTCTACACAGTGTTGAATTAAACTGTTTCCTACTGGTTTCCTGAACTCTGAGGATGGCTGACGCCAGGAAGCAGCAGAAAAGCAGGCTGCTGCAGCAGACTGAACCTACAGGTTCTATCTGATCTGAGTTTCACCAGCAGAGCTCTGCACAGCTATCTGCACTGCTTTTTCTCAGATCTATGGTGGCTTCCAGGGAAAAGCCTTGGTGTAGCTCACAGAGCTGGTATGACAGCAATTACCAAATGTGAGGGCCAGGAATAACTACGTATCAGATGAACTGTAAGGCTTCCCCATCCCTTCCCCATCCCTTCCTTGGGTTCCATTCTGAAAAGGACACCTGGCCAATGGGGTTGCTGGAAGTAACTTTCCCCAAAAGGACTCACGTGGCAGAAGACCATGGCCTGGGCAATGGTGATAGCACCATAGATATTACAGAGAGCACGGAACTTCTCATCTCTGCTATTGCACAGAACGTAATACTGCTTAATAGTGTCCAGCGTCTCCTCCTCTCTCTTCAGCTTGATAATGTTTGGGTCAGGAACAACTTTTTGAGCAAATTTCCACACGGAATCCTCGAAAGTGGCTGAGAACAGAAGCATCTGGCAGTCCCTGGGGAGCATTCTGCAAGAGAGAGCAAAGTGAGCAGCATTCCCACATGGCACCCCAGAACCTGCTGCTGGATGGACGCCCCAGGCAACGCAGACCGACAGCCTCAGAGCCACTTATTTCAGTGGCTGCAAAGCCTCATGCTTCTCTCACCCACACCTGATCATTCCCACATCTTACAGGCTCACATTCTTAAAAAAAAAAAAGAATAAAGCCACGCTCTGGGGCTTATTCCAGAAGACAATTACGACTGCTCATCTTTCCACAGCGTTCTGCCTCTACCAGCTGCCAGGACTAGAGCTAAAGGTGCTGTTTGAATCTCGTTGCTTTGTGGTGGCAGTCACCAGGCCCAGAGTGTAGCCCTGCTGCCCCTATGTTACACAACAGCTGTAATGCTTACCTCTGAATGCGGATGCTCTGATCCTGATGGCCCTGGGTTGCTATCATCACGTCAGCCTCGTCCAAGACGAACACTTTGATTTTCTTGGGATCTATGAACTTCAGCTTGGAGCACCAGTCCAGCACAGTGCCAGGTGTGCCAATTACAATCTGTTCTGAGATCTTCTGACCTCTCTCCACTGTGCAGACAGAAAGCCACCCGTCAAGCTTTGAGATCAGCCACAATATAACTCATGCTGAGCTCAGATTGAGCTAAGGAATAAACCACAGGCATTCATCGTTGCCCCAGGACACCCACTGAGTTAATTCTCGTTACATCAAATTCATATTCTGTCCAGATGTTTAAAAACCATTACGTTCCAGTGCTCTATTCAACCCAAGGAAAATCATTTTCATTTGCAGTCTGTTGGTGGTGCTCCAGCATACTCACATTTATTGCCTCGGACAGCGTATGCAAGCTTCAGCTCCGGGTAAAACTTCCCCATCTGTTCGATCACTTTTCCTGTCTGAAGTGCCAGCTCATATGTTGGGGAAAGGCACAGGCACTGGAGGAGACAGAGGAACGATGAGAGACAACCAACACCAACAGGATTTTTTTAAGGAAAGAATTCAAACCTCAGTAACGCTGCTCAACTATCTCACAAGGAAACTGGGTTTAAAAAGCCTCCATAGAAGCTCAGGCCCTTCGGTAGGGGGTCTCTGCACCACCCCAAGCCCCCACAGAAGGGCTCAGCTGTGCTACAACCCACCTGTGGGTACTTGGGAGCTACAACCCACCTGTGGGTACTTGTTCCCAGGTTCAACACGGCTGAGCATGGCGAGGACGAAGGCAGCTGTCTTGCCAGTACCAGACTGAGACTGTGCAATCAGGTTCTGCGGGCTGCTGCGACACACAGCGGGGTTCAACATCAGCGTGAGCTCAGGCAAACCAACCACCCACAAAGCTGGGGGGGAGCAGTGCAGGCTGAGCCTTCCCACAGCTCTGAGACGTGCCGCTGCTCCGTCCTTTCCCCAAAGCCCCAGCGCCGTCCTCCCCTCTCTGAAAGGATCTTTCAGACCCTTCCTACACGGTGAGGACGCAGAAAGGCGCGCGTACGTACGGTTCAGCAAGCATCATGGGCAGGGCGTTCTCCTGTATCTTTGATGGTCTGTTGAAGCCCATGGCATAGACTCCTTGCAGGAGCTGTGGTTTCCTGGAAACAGAGGCGTTCTCTCTTAAGCTTTGCCTTGGAATATCTCAGAGGCAAGGAGCTGCACCATCCCAAGGGCAAGAAAACCCTTGCAGCCAGACCTCGACACCTGCATCCCTGCTGGGGTTGCACTGCTGCATGACCACCATCAGTGGCAGGAAGCTGCAAGCAGCAGCGCAGTGCTCTTTGGAACAGAAGCTTTACCAAAAAAAAAAAACAACCTTCAATTTACTAAGCCATCCTGCACGCCTGCCTTTCAACATGGAAAACCTCGTATCACTGCTCCAGAGGCTGCTGCTGTGCTTCTTGCATGTTCTAAAGCAGCTTTCCAGACAATCCTGGCCATCCTGGAATAGAGGCCACTAATCTTGTCCTCTAATCCAACCTGAAACTCAGGTCACGGTAGCAGGGAGCTCCTAGCAGTAAGCAGTGCTGAACTCAAAACAGGTTGCACTTGTTCTGCCCACCACTTCCCACTGCTCAGCACAACACACTGCTTGAAAAGACGGTATCACTTTCAGAGGAAGGCTGGAACAAAAGCCCTTTGAGAGGTAACCTTGCACTGCTCAAGGACGCACCAAGCCCAGCTCTGACACAGTTGCTAAGGCTGCACCAAGTCACAACACAGGGCTCACTCAGCCCAGCTGCCTCATTCCTAACTCCCCCAGACTGTTTGCCTTCTGAAAGACAGCAGTTAGTCAGACGGGTGCTATAGGAGCTCTGCCTTTTGGGATACACCAGCCACTAAGGTTAAGGAAGCAGAACCAGTGTGAAGTTCCAGCAGGTCCGTTTTTCCTTGCAACAAAGCTGAGATCACCCATATAACCAACAACCCCACACAACCACCTCTTAGTCCATGAATCTATCACACACAGCTCACGTTGGCACTTACAGGTGCAGCTCCTCGAAGGACTTGACGGAGTAGAGCGGTGAGTTGGGGTCCCTCTGCAGCACCTCCACCTGGTTGCTGGTGTCCACCAGGTTGCTGCGGATCAGCTTGTTCAGCAGGGACTGGGCAGCTCGGTCCTCTGCCAAAAGGGAGGTGGAAAAGCCATCGCAGGTGTTGCTTCTGGTTTGATGCTGTGCTACCCAAGGAAGGAAAGACCCAAATTCCCCCCCGCAGACAGCCCAGACTTCCTGAATGCCAGGACATCCCACGGGTTCACACGTTAAGCCTCACAAAGTGAAGCTGGCAGAGCTCTGAGGCTGAATGGAGACCTCAGGTCTGAACTCATTTCAGTTCCTACAGCTCAGCATCTAACTGGGAAGCAGGGCTGAACACCCCGCTGTCTGCTGACGTGGGAGCAGGTGGCTTTCAGGGTTTCCCTATTTTCCATACCATCATTAAGGTTGACACTGACAGCCCGACGAGGAAAGAAAAGCAGGAGGAAACAGCACTTAGGAAGGTTCCAGGGGCAAAATACTGCATGGGGTGAGGATGAACGGCAGCAGAATGAAACCTGAGCGTCCACACGTGGGGTTTTCCCAATAGATCCCCAAGGATCCGGCGACTCCGAGCGCACACCCACCTTTCTCGTCATCCTCCGTCCTCTCCACGTTGTCGTCCGCCTTCAGCACGGCACCTGGGGGGAGCAGGACGGGGGGAGGAGGGCGAGCTTTAGGCTCGAGAACCTCAGGGAGCGCCCGGCCCGCCCTCCCCCCATCGCTCACCATTGGCGTCGGGCTTGGCCTTCTCCTCCTTCAGCTGCAGGGTGCTCAGCTGCAATAAGGACACACGGTGAGCCCGGCTGCGGGGCAGGGAGAGGGATGGAGGAGGGTGTGTGTGCGTATATGTGTGTGTGTAGGGAGGGGGAAGGCCTCACCGACTCCGCCGCCGCTTCCTGCTCGTCCACGGCCAGGGCCCACGAGTCGGTGGCCATGGCCGGGCCGGGCCGCGCCGCCAGCACCGCAATGGCGCCGGGCGCGGGAAGGGCGCCTGCGCAGTGTTGTTCCGGTTCCGGTTGGGGGCGGCGACATCGGCACTATAGTTCCGGGGCAGCGAAGTTCCGCCCCGCACTCGATGGGGTTGGTGGTTAGGAGGGAGTACCGGGTTGGGGTCAGGCTGTGCCCCTACCCCGCGGGTGTGGGGTCCTGTCCTGATGTATTACCGTAGGGTCAGCCCTGTTCAGTGATTGTGCGTTAAGTGGGGTCAGTCCCACGCTATGCTGCGGAGTTGGGGTCCCCCTCTGCAAAGTGCGGGATGAGCCCCGCTCCCGAGGCACGCAGTGCTGCCTCGAGAGAACGGAGCGAGGTGGGCTCGCGCAGCTTTGGGATGGTTGGTTTTGTGCTGCAGTCGCTGAGCTGCTGTAGAAGGGAGGGCTTCCCCCTAAGCGGATCCATGTGCGAGCTGGGGCTCGGGGCACAGCTGTGACATTTGCAATTTCCATCCTCGAAATGGAGACGCAGAGAGGGAGAACGGAGCCGTGGAAGCGGCCGGAACGCGGAGGAGCCACGCGCCCCATCCCCGCTCCACGTGTCCTGTTGGGACAGCAGATCTTGTGGGGCAGCCCCATCGGGATCTTTCAGCGGGGCAGGGCGCTGCCGCGGCACCCCGCGGACCCTTCTTGTCCCTGCGGGCTCCGCATCGTGTCCCTAGGGCCGCAGAGGGGCCGCGGGAGGCGGAGGCGAAGGCGGCGGTGCGGGAGCATCATCGTCATGGTTACCTCCGCACGGCTCCGCTCTGCCACGGGCTCCCGGACCTGCGTCCGTCCTCCTGCGTGTGTCCGTGCCTCGGTCACCCCGCTCCCTCCTCCCCTGCTCTCTCCCTTTTCGTCTCCGTCTCCCCGTGCCTTCCAGAGGCAGAGCGGCTTGAAGCGCTGCTTGCGTGATTCCTTTCCCGAGCTGCAGGAGAAGGGGAGAAGTTGCCCCACCCCGGCCCACCTTCCTCCTCCTCACGGGCAAGGTAAGGAGCAGCGGCACGCCGGCTGCGTGTGCGGGCTTTGCCAGGCTGAACGGCATCGCTGCGGCTCCCCGAGGTGCTGCGTGAGCCCCGACACCGCATCGGTGCAACAGGCGGCCGGCCGGCCGTGCGCGCACATCCCTGCAAAGGGCGGCCGGCTGCGAGGCTGTAAGCGGGCTGCGAGCCGCTGGATGTCAGTGTTGATTGATGCAAACGAAGCCGGAGGAATATTTTGAACCCTCTGCACAACAGCCGTCCTCCAAGTAGAGGGGGGTGGGGGGGGTTATCCCGGCGCTGTGTGCGGCCCTGCGGTGTCACCGCTGTGCGCTGCGGCTGAGCTTGGCCGGACGAGTGGTGACTTCTATCCGAGCCCACGCGGATGGGATTACGGTCCTGCTGATGCGGCTCTGATCCGCCCCGCTGGGGCCAGGCCAGCGGCTGTGAGGCTGCAGCAACCCGCGGCAGTGATACTGGGAGTTGTGGCCAGCAGGACTTTGAGCCCAAGCATGGGGCTTGCCGCTTGTGCCAACCTCCGCGGGAGCACGGGGACACTGCTGCTGTCCCCCCGCTGGGGCTTGAATTCACCTCCAGGGCTTCTCAGAAATGAATTCCTCGTTTCCCCTGCTCATTCCTCCCTTTCTTCCCTAAGGCAAAGGGCTCCCTCTCCTTCCTCCCCCATCTGGTGCTTAATTACTTCCTAATATCCCGATGCCCTCTGCCTCCTCTCTGCGGTGCAGCCAGCCCTTGTTATCTCGCCCCGAGCACCTATGCGTCAGCTGGCTGGAAATGATGCTGCGTCTCCCGCAGCGCTGTGCCTGTGCTGGAAGGGGAGGAAACACGCTGGGGATGGGAGCACAGAGCAGAACCTCCAGGGGAAGGGTTGCGGCGCTTGGCAGAAGCTTTACAGCTGAGCTTTGCTGAGCCAGAGATGAGTCACGGTGTGGAGAGAGAGGGCAGATCCTTCCCTGGGGACCGAGGCACTGCAGGGTGGAGGGAAGGCTGAAGTTGAGCCATTCTGCCCCAGCTTGAGCGGCTGAGGTGTGCAGAGACGTGGCGCTCAGGACTCACCTCTCCTTCTGTCCTCAGGGCTGTGAAGGCACAAGGAGGACGCGTGGTGCTCCAGGCTCCTCTCGTGGGTTCTTCCTTCCCAAGCACTGCGTGGTGGTGAAGATGCCAGGGCTGATCAACCAGAGCTCCCGTTGCCCACTGCTGCTCACCGCCTCCCAGGTGACATCCTGTGTCAGTGGATATGCCCTGGGCATGACAGCTTCGCTCACCTACTGCAATCTGCAGGCACAGCCCTGCAAAGGCAAGTGAAGCACGTGCTGCTGTGGGAGTTGTGTCCCATGGTTGTAAATGCAAAGTGATGTGGGCCTAAAGGGTACGACTGGAGAAGTGTGAGTTTGAGTATCGTAGAATGGCTCTGATCCCACCCAGCCCCCACAGGGAAACCCGGATCTGGTGCCCAGAATCATGTCCAGATGCTCTTGGAGATTTGCGTGGATGGCAATCCCACCACCTCTGTGTGTCCCTGTGTCCCATCACAGAGCAGAGTGGCAGGGTCAGCTCCTCGACCTGCTGGCAGTGCCTGATGCAGCCAAGAACACAACTAGCTGCCTTGGCAGCAAGGGCACAGTGCTGGCTTGTGGTCACCTTGGTGTCCATTGGGTCCTGCCTTGCTGTGCATTTTCAGCTGCATCCCCCAGCACATCCTGTGCTTGTTCCTCCCCCGTGCAGCACTTGGCTCTTCTTCTTGAATCAGAAGCATAGAATGGTTGGGTTGGGTTGGGAGGGATCTTTAAGCCCACACAGTTCCAGTGCCCAGTGCCCCCCACCAGACCATGCTGCCCAGGGCCTCATCCAGCTTGGCCTTGAGCTCTTCCAGAGAACCCAAGGCTGATGGATTCTGGATGAAGGCTTGGTGTTGCTAAAACCCTCCTGGCTGGCAGGGCTCTTCATCTTCCCCCTGGATGAAGGCACCACCGTCGTGGGATTTGAGGCAGTGATCTGCCAGCGTGCTGTGACCGTGCAGATAAAGGACAAAGCCAAGATTGACGACGTGTATTTGAACAGCATCAGCCTCCCTGATGGAGGAGCTCCCAACGGGGGTGGTGAGAGAGTTTGGAGCCTTTTGAGGAACACAGGGAGCCAAGGGGAAGGGGAGGTGGTAGTGAGTGGGTGGCTGTCATGTGTCATGGCGTCAAGGGGACTCATGTCCATATGGTATCTGCCAAAATGGTAATGCAGAGGGCTGTGGTTTGGGCTTCCCAGAGAGGAGAGATGGGGTGGGGGTGACTTTGGGAGGCCTAGGGAACGACATTTTTTGTGGTTGTGACACCCTAATACAGCTGTCTCTCTCTGCAGGAAGGATTGTGATGGATGAGGACTTGGAGAGGATTGCTTTTGTGGCCAACCTGGGCATGATTCCTCCCCTGGAAAGCGTCTCCATCTTTATCAGCACCTCCTCTGAGCTGCAGACGCTGCCCAGCGGGGCTGTGCGGGTCCTCCTGCCAGCTGTGTGTGTCCCCAGGGTCCCTCAGCCCAGCCTGGAGAACACCAGCAGCCTTTCCAGCCACCTGCTGAGAATGTATGGAACAACGGGATGGCTTCTGATTGGGACTGGTGCAGGGAGACAGCACTCAGGCATTCATTGGGGTTCACCTCACTTGCAGGGACAAGCAGTGCTGCTCATTGGGGAGCCCAGAGCTTGGGAGCAGTTTCTGTCTGGCCCAGCTGCTGCAGAGTGAGGCAACCAACCCCTCCGAGTACGAGTTCAGCTTCCACCTGGAGATCCGGGGGCCATGCCTGCTGGCAGGTACGGGGCTGCCTGTGATGCCCACGCTCATCCTCCTCCTTTCCTTCCCCTGCGTGGGGTGCTCTGGCTCTCCCTAACCACCCCTTGGTCCCTCCATGCAGGCGTTGAGAGCCCCACGCACGAGATCCGAGCAGATGCCGACCCCTCCGCTCGCTCAGCGAAGAGCATCGTCATCACGTTGGCCAACAGGCACACGTTTGACCGACCTGTGGAGATCCTCATCCACCCGAGTGGTACGTGGGCTCTGCCCCTGCTTTGCACACACTGCCGGGGGTCAGACTTGTACAAGATAGCCCCAGATCCCCTCAAAAGCCATCGCAACAGTGGGTGCATGCAGCTCTTCCAAACCTGGAGCTGAGCTGAGGTGGGGTTCTCCTGCATTTCCAGAGCCCCACATGCCTCACATCTTAATGGAAGAAGGTGATATGACACCTGCAGAGTATGAACAGCACTTGAAGGGGAAGAGTGATTTCATTAAGGGCACAAAGAAGGACCCCAGTGCTGAGAAAAAGGTGAGAGGCACCGAGGCTTTCCTTCAGCTGGGTGATTACATGGTTGGCTGCTTGCAGTGCTTGTCCATAACTGCAGCATCCCCCCTTGGAGAGGGGTTTATGTGGAGGAGGAGGGGAAAATTCTGCACTGCTTCTGATGAACCGGGTGTGGAAGAAGCTGCGAGATGGGTATTGTGTGTATAATTAGTGCTGTTCTAGCATAGCGTAATTAGGTAGGTACATTATTATAGCATTAACAGTATTATAATTATTGCAGTGACATTGAATAAAGTATTCTTTTAATTGCTCCGTAAATGTTTACCGTTTCTGGATAAGCTGTCAGAGAGATGGAAGCGATTTGGCTTGGAATAACGAGCTCAGCCGAAGACAAGGTAGTAGAAACTTCTCTTTGTTCTGCTGACGAGCAAATAGAAAAAACCTCAGCTCTGGGATTTATGGCTCAGCAGCCCCGGCTGAGTGACGGCTCAGCGCTCCCTGCCTGCCATGCAGCAGGTGGAGAGGAGGGGACTGCTGGGAGCCGCCTGTCCTGCGGTGGGCTCCGCATGCAGGACCCCCAAGTGCTTGCAGCCCTGAAGCAGGGGCTGTCTGGACACACCTGGTGATGCTCCATGGTTTCTCCCCATGCTGCTGGGGCTCCTGGTTTCGCTGCAGCCCCTTCTCTTTTCCCTT